AAAAATAAAACTACCAAGTTTTTACGAAATACCTTACTAGGATGATGGTAAATGACAGTCTAAAACATTCTGTAAAATTATGGCACCTTATGTCAAGTCATTTTCAAGAAAATGGTATATTTGTATACATTTCCAACGATGGTCGACCGACCACCGTTGGAAAAAACTATTTTTCAACTACTGCTCCAAATTTACAAAATTTTTTCAGTCCAAATTTTGTTTGCTATTGGTTACACGTTCATGAACGGGTGCAGGCCAGCTAGACTGGTTCCCTTACCTTATAATTTTCCGACATCTATAAATTGATCCATTTTATCTTTAGTGGAGTCAGGGAACCAGACTACTTAAACAATTTTGTTTTTCTTGGTTTTTCAAGCATTTTCGAACACGAAACTTCAAACATGTCAGTTACACAATATTTGATCTATTATACTAACCCCTCAATTTCTGAAAATTACAGCAAAAGCCAATAATGTACATTCCCTTTAACAGTGCAACTGTTAAACCTTATTTAACCTTATTTTCGTTTTGCATATTCAAGGTTATTTGGTGCTTTTACGTTTTTATGCTCATGCGAATTTCCATATGCATGAAAAAAAAGTTTGATGTCATTTTAGGTAGAAATCTCGCAGCTATTTCAGCTCCAAAAGTTGCCAAATGAGCAAACTTTTCAAACAAAATGTTTTGAAATTGAGCACATTTTGGGTTCACAATTTGAACAGAAATACTAAGCATAACAGTGTCTTCCTGAAATGATATCCCAGTAACAGCGCCCTCGGGTTTCCGGAAACTTATGGATTTTTTTTTATAGGTTTGAAAAAGTGCACTTTTCCAATAAAATTCACCAAAAAAGGGATGTCAAGTCATACATTTAAGAGAAGAAAGTTGCAAAAGATGTGTTCCTCAGGAAAAGTAAACTCATGTACCCTTAAGGGATCCTCTCAATGTAGGAGTCGTCTTGTGGTATCCACCCTCAATTATAAAAAATATATCATATATTTCTAAAATAAGTATACAAGTGTAAGAACTGCATGGTGCCTTTTTTGTTTAAGCTCATTAAATTTACTGACTTTTCTTCGTTTTTGGTTGAAAATTACAAACCACTAGACTGCCGCCCTCTGTTGACGAAGTAGATCGTAAGGTGAATTTCAAGTGCGTTCAACAAGAACAAGAAAAGTTCTGATTAAGCTATCCATATTTGAAATAAGTGGTACAGCCTAAGCTGGCTTGAATAACAAGATATTAAGAGATAAATATATGTGGAAGGGAGTCACTTTAAACTAAACTACAACAGTGTCTGGCACACTGTTGCATGCATGGAGAGAAAAACCCAACTAAGAACACAAGAATCATCCATTATAATTGTATAAAATGATGTCATATCAAGACTAGTTTTCACTCTTCTGGTCAGGTTTCCTCTTGCAGAATGAAGTGCGTCTCTTGCCAATCCTGATTTTGAACTGTTTTCTTCTCTCTTTATTTTTGATTTTTTTTTTATAGAAAACGGAGCCTGTCATACCTGGGCGAGAGTGGTCAGATGAAGAGGCTTCTGGTTGAGGCCATTGCTGCCAGGAGGAGGACGCAGGGAGGAGAACCTACGGAGCTAGGAACTGTGGACTCTGCTTGCTGAGCTTGCCAGGAATTCCTACAAACTTCGGACACGATTCTTTATGGAGTGAAAACCCCACTGAATAATTGGGCAAGAAACTTCATTATTATTAATTAAAAAGTTATTTTAAGAAATGAAATGAACTATAGTGACATGCTTCTGGATGAAGGTCAGACGCCCTGAGCATTGCCAGAGAAAAGGCTTTATGCCTTATATGATTTACTATTGAACTGTCAGTGATACTCCAATGAATAAAATTCAGTGAAGACGAACTGCAACGAACATTAGTCACACTACTTGGAATATGATCCAGCAGTCAATAATTAACAAAACGTATATGACTTATTCCATGAGGAATGCAAAGAAGAACTGAGAGATCACAGCGTCTTAATTCAGTGAAGACGAACTGCAATGAACATTATACTACTTGGAATATGATCCAACAGCCTTATAATAAGGTTGATCATAAGTCAATAGTTAACAAAACAGGACTACTTATATGACTTATCCCATGAGGAATGCAAAGAAGAACTGAGATATCACAGCGTCTCAATTCAGTGAAGACGGACTGCAGTGAACATTAGTCACACTACTTGGACTATTATACAAAAGCCTTATAATTAGAAAACGACTACATGTGTGACTTATTATTCCACGAGGAATACAAAGAAGAACTGAGATGTCACAGCGTCTGGGGCGCTGTCCTTATACACATTTAAAGATATAATATATATTATATAACGTTCCAAAGCAAACAAGAGTAACAACTATGAGTCATTAATACGGGCATTGGCTGATATTTTGTTTCTATAAATGTAAAGAAAGAAACAGATACCATCCTGCCCGATAATCAACATGAAATTCATTAGAGAGTCCAACTATAATTTGTGACCTGAAGAAAAAGAGGTTGCTCTTTGAAAAGGTGATGATTGGAAGTAAGGAAGAAAAAAACCAATCATCACTTTATAGCCCAGAGTAATGACTTTGTTTCTGAATTGCTCCCTGTGTATGATGTGATTTTCCCTGTGTACGGTGTGATTATTTCTTGTGTACGGTGTGATTATTTCTTGTGTTCGGTGTGATTATTCCTTGTGTGCCGTGTGATTATTTATTGTCTAAGTGTGATTATTTCTGCGTATGGTGTGATTATTTCTGTGTACGGTGTGATTATTTCTTGTGTCGTGTGTTTTCTTCTAGTGATTTTTTGATATAGGCCTACCCAAACGAAAATAGCGCAAAATCAAAACTGTAGAGAAAGAAATAATACTTGAAATCAGTGTTATTTATTTTCTCAAAGTAACAATACGATACGATACGACACGATACGATACGATTGGGTACGAAACGATACGAAACGATACAATACGACACGATGACGTTGGTGAGACAAACAAATATTTCGAAAAGTGTTATTCTCACCCACAAAAAAGACGGCCAAAAAAAAAAAATGATTTACGGTACGATACGATTATACGAGAGCGGTGAACTTCGAAATTTTTTTGTCGAAAAACGCAGCCGTGAAAGTTAAAGAAATTAAACTGGAAATCATGCAAACAAAAGAAAGAAATGCGAGGAAAAATTTAATTTCGGTATATTAAAACAAAGCGGCGGTGAGACGAAATGCATTGAAAAAAAGTAAAGGAGTTATGCCACAATACGACACGATACGAAACGACACGAAAGCGGCTGTTAGAAAAGAAAAAAAATGTTTGGAAAAAAGTGTCATTTTTCTCACCCATAAAAAATGTAGAGAAAGAAATATTACTTGAAAATCAGTGTTATTTATTTCTCAAAGGTACGATACGATCCGACATGATCCGACACGATACGATAGCGGTGGTGTGAAAAATAATATTAGGAAAAAGTGTGAGATTTCTCACCCATAAAAAATGTAGAGAAAGAAATAATACTTGAAAATCAGTGTTATTTATTTCTCAAAGGTACGATACGACACGATACGATCCGACACGATACGATACGACACGATACGATACGACACAATGCGATACGACACGATACGATACGACACGATACGATACGATACGACACGATACGATACGACACAATGCGATACGACACGATACGATACGATACGACACGATACGATACGACACAATGCGATACGACACGATACGATACGATACGACACGATACCGGTCGTGAGAAAAATGATATTTGAAAAAAGTGATACTCACCCAAAAAAAAATGTAGGGAAAGAAATAATTCTTGAAAATCGGTGTTATTTATTTCTCGAAGTGAGAGATGACACGCCACGCCACGATACGACACGGTACGATACGACACGATGCGATACGACACGATACGCGTTATTAAAAGTGTTATTATTCTCACCCACAAACAAAATACAAAATGAAAAAAAAAATGCCTTTAGAAACGACTTTAAATGATTTGCGATATGACACGAAATGATACGAAACGAGAAAATTCCGAATTTTTCGAGTTATTATTATTATTTCTTTCCTCAGCGAACTCGGCAAAAAAAATTCGGCCGGACAAAATCATGCAACCAACAAAAGAAAATAAATAGGACGAAAATTGAAATTATGGTAGAATAAAAAAGCGGCGGAGCACGGCACAAATAATAATGGCCACAAAAATAACTGATTCCAGATTGCAACTCAAGAGAAAAAAAACAGAATTTTTTAAATCAGTAAGATTTTTACTGCAAAAAAGTGAAACGAAATAAATAAGGACAGACTAAAAAAGTCGGCTACGAATTTATTTTACTGGTAAAAAAGCGGTAGTGACAAGAAAAACCAGTCATGCCGCATGTTTATTGTCAAGTGTATTGCCAAGCCGTCTCTCGCGAATTGTTTCTTCGTCGAAATGTTCAGATTTCTTCCTCCATTTTTGGTCTGCATCTCATGACATGTCACGTGTCACCTTCAAAAGATTTAGTTTAGCTGTGTCTTTTAATTTTTAATTGAAATTAGTAAGTCCGATCTATAAATGCATCGGCAGAGATTCCTGTGGCTTATAGTCACCTTCAATTTTTTTTCCAGCCGTGTCTTGATTTTAAACCAGTAAGTCCGATGTTCAACGATCGGCAGTAAAACTTCTGATATTTGTCTCCTTCAGAATGTTTAATTTTGTTGATAAGTGTAATGGCACTATGCAGTCTCCAAAAGTAACTTTTAACATTTTGAATTAGAAAAACATTGTAAGTCCGATCTTCAACGATCGGCAGGGAAACACTTGTGGCATTATGTCGCCTTAACCGTCTTCGATTAAGAGTAAATTCAGTGTGCAAAGGTTGGCAAAAACGCGTTAGACTTTATTGTCTTCAGTATTCATACATGTATGTTCATGTATTGATAGCATTAATGGATTTATCAAAGTGAGCCTCTTTGTTTCTCCCTCCCCCCTCAAAATAACTATGACTATTTTGTTGGCCGGGTTTAAAATAAGTACCGGGAGTCTTTTCTAACCATCTGTGGAGATACGGTGTGACCTAGCTAGGCTGGGTCGAGTTTTCTTTCTCCCTGTAGCTCATTCAGCCGAGAGATGAACATCTACAAGCCTAAGACTGACTGGATGAGGAGAGGCTGCTTTTTCAAGATGGAAACGAATCCCTCTGAGGAACCGGAAGCAGGGAGGAGGACCGACGGATGAACGGATGACTCTGCTTGCAGGGCTACCCATTTCTGATTCCTAAGGTAAGTTTAAAAACAAGTTCCTCTCATTAATGAGTGCATCTGTGATCAATTCTTTTTCTTTAAGTCTCCTTTCCTCTTTCTTTTTGATTTTCTTAATAGAGGATGGAAACTAGAATACCTGGATGAAAATGGATAGATGAAGAAGCTTCTGGTTGAGGATGACCTTCCCTCCCCACCCCACTTCAGCTGGAACTAAGGAGCCGGAAGCAGGGAGGAGGACCAACAGATGAACGGATGACCTGCTTGTCGGGCTTCCCATTACTTATTTTAAAAGTAAGTTTCAAACAGGAAAACAGTTGAATGCTAATCTGTCATAAAAAGACAATTTTTCACTAGTCTGGTGAAGTTACCACTCACAGGATGAATTACATTTCCCGTCAATCCTGATTCTGAAATGTTTTCCTTTCTCTTTGGTTTGATCTTTTAATAGAAAATGGAGTCTGGTATACATGGATGAGACTGGCTGGATGAAGAAGCTGCAGGTTGAGGATCCCCTTGCCCTTCCCACCCCACTTAAGCTGGAACTAAGGAGCCGGAAGCAGGAAGGAGGACCAACAGATGAACGGATGACCTGCTTGTCGGGCTTCCCATTTCTGAGTTTGCAGTAAGTTTTAAAAAGGAAAGCAAATGAACAATCATATGGTAAACTGTCATAAAAGACTAGTTTTCACTCGTTTGGTCAAGTTCCCCCTCAGAATGAATTAAATATCTCGTCAATCCTGATTCTGAAATATTTTCTTTTCCCTTTTTTTTTTTTTTTATCTTTAAATAGAAAATGGAGCCTGGATGAGAGTGGCTAGATGAAGAAGCTTTTGGTTGAGGATGACCTTTCCCTCCCCATCCCACTTCAGCTGGATCTAAGGAGCCGGAAGCAGGGAGGAGGACCAATAGATGACTGTTGACTCTGCTTATTGAACTTGCCGTTTGAGATTTGTGAGGTAGATTTACTAAACCAAAATTACTGGTCACACATTGATGTAAAAAGGACGGCAATGCCTGGAGCATTGCCTTCACAGCTACAATCATGAAACAAAGTGCAAGAGTTTTTTTAAAGGACATAGATAAGGAAGCACAACTTACACAAGAAAATATCAAAATAAATGAAAGTCTCTTTTACTTTGTTCCTAGCCAAATAAGAATTGTTACTAATGTGACCTAGTTCGCCTAGGCCGAGAAGCTTTTTTTATTTTACAGGATGGAGATTGTTATAGGAAACATCTCAAGCCATTACTTCAGGAGAATGAAAGATGTCTGGCAACCGGAGGCAGGGAATGACTGATGAACCTACTTGCTCAACATTACATCTGTGATACATGAGGTAAGTGTACTCCCCACCCCAACAAAAATTGTATTTTGAATTTTGACACTTGAAAAGTTTGACAGTGTGACAAGCCTGCTTAAATTGTCAATTTAATGCTGTGCCTTTTGGTTTTTATACTTATTTGCAGATTCGCCAAGATGTCAGCCATCAACGACATAGGAAGATGGCTTACCGGCTACCGCTGCCAAGCCCACCACTTACCAGAACAAGAAATTAATTAAAACCACCAACCCCACCCCTTAGCAGAACAAGAAATTGATAAAAATTCACTGCAACAAATGAAATTAGAATATAATTCCTGACTTTGGACTAAGTACTTTTTTAAGGCTATGGGACACCCCCGTCCTGCCTAGTTGAATCAGCCTGTCTCATGCACTAAAAAACGGTGCTCAAACCTTTGAGAATTCTTTTCAGTCAAAAATCATCAAGACATGGAAATTACACTGTGCTTATGTTGTTGCTTTTGTTTGCATGTTCGCATGATTTCACTGTTCCATTTTGGCATGTGTTGTTCCTGCATGTTTTATCAGATCGCACCTTTTTGTTTTTAAGAAGCAAAAAGATAACCACAGTGTATGGCCATAGTCTGACAATTATTACATTAAAAAACTCAAAACATATTAAGCTAAATTTAAAACTAATCATTGAAAATAACTAAAATGAAATCAACAGCATTTCATTGCATAATGTATTTTGAGGGGGGGGGGGGTCATCCCATAGCCTTTGCCTCCCTTTCGCACCTAATTCTTTGATGTCACCAAAAGCATCGACATAAAAAAAAATCTGGAAAAAAGCAGAACTATTTTGGTCACGTTGGTGGTATTGATATTTTTTCAGGGAAGTTGCTTTTTCATTGAAAAGTCTCCCTTTCGACAATGAAAAACCACTGACTTATTAAAATATTTAAATAATTGTTTGAAGTGAGGTTCCTTCTATCATTTTCCTTAACTTACTATTGACCATCCTAAATCAAACGAGGATGACAACGGATACCTCTGATGAGGAAGAAGCCACTGGTTGAGGATGACATTGCACTCCCCGTCCCAGGAGCCAGAAGCAGGGAGGAAGACCAACAGATGAACTGATGATTCTGCAGTGAGCTAGCCATTTCTGATTCTCAAGGTTAGTTTCCTCTATAAGAAGAGAAAAGAAAAGAAGATGATGCCACAAAATGAAAAGGCTAGTTTATCTCCTTTTCAGCTTAATTGCCTCATATGATAATGACACGAGTGCAGATTATTTTGCAATTAAACTAAACTTTGTTTCGCTATATTTTTTTTAGTTTTATTTTGAAATTAAACTTAACTTTGTTTCGCTATATTTTTCTTTCTATCATGTTTAGAAGTGTGGATGAGTCTTGGATTGATGGAGACTTGGAGATGCCGAATTTGGAGACACACCAAACCACCATCACAGATGTACCTTTAGAAACCGGAAGCAGTGAGGAGGACCGACAGATGAACTGAAGACCCTACTCACTGAGCTAGCCATTTCTGATTTTCAAGGTTAGTTTCCTCCAAAGAAAAGGAAGATGGTGTTATAAAGTAAAAAGAACCATCGGTAACTCAACTGGTGGTATTTTGCTGCTGTATTGCCTTGCAAGATAAAATGTCCCGAGTTATCCGAGTATTACATTAAAGTGTTTTGGCATTTTGTTCTCCTAATAATTTATTCTATTTAGAAACCTGGCTGAGTATTGATGAAGACCTGGATGGAGAGTCTGTTTGTTGACTTGACGCCTGAAACCATCATCACATATGACTGAGGAACCGGAAGCAGGGAGGAAGAACGACAGAAGAACGGAAGACCCTGCTTGCTGGGCTCTCCTTTTCCGTTTTTTAAAGTGAGTTGAAAAAGAGCTACAAATAGATAATAGAATAATGTCATATCAAGACTAGTTTTCACTCTTCTGGTCAGGTTCTCTCTTGCAAAATGAAGTGCGTCTCTTGCCAATCCTGATTCTAAACTGTTTTCTTCTCTCTTTGTTTTTGACATTTTAATAGAAAATGGAGCCTGTCATACCTGGATGAAAGTGGTCAGATGAAGAGGCTTCTGTGTTTACGGCTGACTTTGCCCTCCTCACCCTACTTCTGCTGACACGAAGGAGGAGGAAGCAGGGAGGAGAACCTTTAGAGGACTGAACATTAGCCACACTACTTGGAATATTATCCAAAAGTTTATCACAGGTTTATAGTTAAAAAAAACTACTTATGTGACTTATTATTCGAAGAGGAGGACAAGGAAGAACTGAGATGTCACAGCGTCACAATTCAGTGATGACGAACTGCAGTGGACATTATATAGTCACGCTACTTGGAATTAATCTAAAAGCCTTATAATTGGGTGTATCATAAGTCTTAAGTTTAAAAAAAGACTGCTCATGTGATTTATTATTCGATGAAGAAGACAAGGAAGAACTGGGATGTTACAGCGTCTGGGGCGCTGTCCTTATACACATTTTAAAAGAAATATAAAACCTTCCAAAGCAAACAAGATTCAAAAACTCTTGAGTCATCAAAACGGACATTGGCTGATACTTGTTTGTATGAACATTAAGAAAGAAACAGATACCATCTTGCCCGAAAATCAACATAAAATCATTAGAGGGTCAAACTATAATTTGTGACCTGAAGAAAAAGAGGTTGCTCTTTGAAAAGGTGATGATTGGGAAGTTAGAAAGAAAAAGTCAATCATCACTTTATAGCCCAGAGTAATGACTTTGTTTCTGAATTGTTCCCTGTGTATGATGTGATTTTCCCGGTGTACGGTGTGATTATTTCTTGTGTTCAGTGTGATTATTTCTGTGTACAGTGTGATTATTCCCTGTATAGTGTGTTTTCTTCTAGTTATTTTTGATATACTCCTACAAAAATAGCGCAAAATCAAAACTGTAGAGAAAGAAATAACGATGACGTTGGTGAGACCAAAAATATTTCGAAAAGTGTTATTTTTCTCACCCACAAAAAAGACGGCCAAAAAAAAAAATGATTTACGGTACGATACGATTATACGAGAGCGGTGAACTTCGAAATTTTTTTGTTGAAAAACTCAGCCGTGAAAGTTAAAGAAATTAAACTGGAAATCATGCAAACAAAAGAAAGAAAAGCGAGGAAAAATTAAATTCCGGTATATTAAAACAAAGCGGCGGTGAGACGAAATGCATTGAAAAAAGTAAAGGAGTTATATGACACGCCATGCCACAATACGACACGATACGAAACGATACGATAGCGGTGGTTAGAAAAAAAATAATGTTTAAAAAAAGAGTCATTTTTCTCACCCATAAAAAATGTAGAGAAAGAAATATTACTTGAAAATCAGTGTTATTTATTTCTCAAAGGTACGATGCGATCCGACATGATCCGACACGATACGATAGCGGTGGTGTGAAAAATAATAAATGTATTAGGAAAAAGTGTTATTTTTCTCACTCAAAAAATGCAGAGAAAGAAATATTACCTGAAAATCAGTGTTATTTATTTCTCAAAGGTACAAAACGCGAGGGTACGATACGACTCGATACGATACGACACGATACGATACGACACAATGCGATACGATACGACACGATACCGGTCGTGAGAAAAATGATATTTGAAAAAAGTGATACTCACCCCCCAAAAAATGTAGGGAAAGAAATAATTCTTGAAAATTGGTGTTATTTATTTCTCGAAGTGAGAGATGACACGCCACGCCACGATACGACACGGTACGATACGACATGATACGTGTTATTAAAAGTGTTATTATTCTCACCCACAAAAAAAGTACAAAATGAAACAAAATGCATTTAGAAAGACTTTAAATGATTTGCGATATGACACGAAATGATACGAAACGAGAAAATTCCAAATTTTTCGAGTTATTATTATTATTTCTTTCCTCAGCGAACTCGGCAAAAAAATTCGGCCAGAAAAAAAATCCTGCGACCAACAAAAGAAAATAAATGGGACGAAAATTGAAATTATGGTAGAATAAAAAAGCGGCGGAGCACGGCACAAATAATAATGGCCACGAAAATAACTGATTCCAGATTGCAACTCAATAGAAAAAAACCAGAAATTTTTAAATCGGTAAGATTTTTACTGCAAAAAAGTGAAACGAAATAAATAAGGACAGACTAAAAAAATCGGCTACGAATTTATTTTATTGGGAAAAAAGCGGTAGTGACAAGAAAAACCAGTCATGCCGCATGTTTATTGTCAAGTGTATTGTCAAGCCATCTCTCCTCGCGAATTGTTTCTTCGTCGAAATGTTCAGATTTCTTCCTCCATTCTTGATCTGCATCTCATGACATGTCACGTGTCACCTTCAAAAGATTTAGTTTAGCTGTGTCTTGTAATTTTTAATTAATTAGTAAGTCCGATCTATAAATGCATCGGCAAAGATTCCTGTGGCTTATAGTCACCTTATAATTTTGTCCAGCCGTGTCTTGATTTTAAACCAGTAAGTCCGATGTTCAACGATCGGCAGTAAAACTTCTGATATTTGTCTCCTTCAGAATGTTTAATTTTGTTGATAAGTGTAATGGCACTATGCCGTCTCCAAAAGTAACTTTTAACATTTTGAATTAGAAAAACATTGTAAGTCCGATCTTCAACGATCGGCAGGGAAACACTTGTGGCATTATGTCGCCTTTAACTCTCTTCGATTAAGAGTAAGTCCAGTCTGCAACGATTGGCAAAACGCGTTAGACATTATTGTCGTCAGTTTTCATACATATATGTACATGTATTGATAGCATTAATGGATTTATCAAAGTGAGCCTCTTGTTTCTTCCCCCCCCCCTCCCCCTCAAAAGAACTATGACTATTTTGTTGGCCGGGTTTAAAATAAGTACCGGAAGTCTTTTCTAACCATCTGTGGAGATACGGTGTGACCTAGCTAGGCTGGGTCGAGTTTTCTTTCTCCCTGTAGCTCATTCAGCTGAGAGATGAACATCTACAAGCCTAAGACTGACTGGATGAGGAGAGGCTGCTTTTTCAGGATGGAAACGAATCCCTCTGAGGAACCGGAAGCAGGGAGGAGGACCGACGGATGAACGGATGACTCTGCTTGCAGGGCTACCCATTTCTGATTCCTAAGGTAAGTTTAAAAAGAAGTTCCTCTCATTAATGAGTGCATCTGTCATCAATTCTTTTTCTTAAGTCTCCTTTCCTCTTTCTTTTTGATTTTCTTAATAGAGGATGGAAACTAGAATACCTGGATGAAAATGGATAGATGAAGAAGCTTCTGGTTGAGGATGACCTTCCCTCCCCATCCCACTTCAGCTGGAACTAAGGAGCCGGAAGCAGGGAGGAGGACCAACAGATGAACGGATGACCTGCTTGTTGGGCTTCCCATTACTTATTTTAAAAGTAAGTTTCAAACAGGAAAACAGATGAATGGTAATCTGTCATAAAAAAAGACCATTTTTCACTAGTCTGGTGAAGTTACCACTCACAGGATGAATTACATATCCCGTCAATCCTGATTCTGAAATGTTTTCCTTTCTCATTTGTTTTGACCTTTTAATAGAAAATGGAGTCTGGTATACATGGATGAGACTGGCTGGATGAAGAAGCTGCAGGTTGAGGATCCCCTTGCCCTTCCCACCCCACTTGAGCTGGAACTAAGGAGCCGGAAGCAGGAAGGAGGACCAACAGATGAACGGATGACCTGCTTGTCGGGCTTCCCATTTCTGAGTTTGCAGTAAGTTTAAAAAAGGAAAGCAAATGAACAATCATATGGTAAACTGTCATAAAAGACTAGTTTTCACTCGTTTGGTCAAGTTCCCCCTCAGAATAAATTACATATCTCGTCAATCCTGATTCTGAAATATTTTCTTTTCCCTGTTTTTTTTTTATCTTTAAATAGAAAATGGAGCCTGGATGAGAGTGGCTAGATGAAGAAGCTTTTGGTTGAGGATGACCTTTCCCTCCCCATCCCACTTCAGCTGGATCTAAGGAGCCGGAAGCAGGGAGGAGGACCAATAGATGACTGTTGACTCTGCTTATTGAACTTGCCGTTTGAGATTTGTAAGGTAGATTTACTAAACCAAAATTACTGGTCACACATTGATGTAAAAAGGAGGACAATGCCTGGAGCATTGCCTTCACAGCTACAATCATGAAACAAAGTGCAAGAGTTTTTAAAGGACATGGATAAGGAAGCACAACTTACACAAGAAAATATCAAAATAAATGAAAGTCTCTTTTACTTTGTTCCTAGCCAAATAAGAATTGTTACTAATGTGACCTAGTTCGCCTAGGCCGAGAAGCTTTTTTTATTTTACAGGATGGAGATTGTCATAGGAAATATCTCAAGCCATTACTTCAGGAGAATGAAAGATGTCTGGCAACCGGAAGCAGGGAATGACTGATGAGCCTACTTGCTCAACATTACATTTGTGATACATGAGGTAAGTGTACTCCCCACCCCAACAAAAATTGTATTTTGAATTTTGACACTTGAAAAGTTTGACAGTGTGACAAGCCTGCTGAAATTGTCAATTTAATGCTTTGCCTTTTGGTTTTTATACTTATTTGCAGATTCGCCAAGATGTCAGCCATCAACGACATAGGAAGATGGCTTGCCGGCTACCGCTGCCAAGCCCACCACTTACCAGAACAAGAAATTAATTAAAACCACCAACCCCACCCCTTAGCAGAACAAGAAATTGATAAAAATTCACTGCAACAAATGAAATTAGAATATAATTCCTGACTTTGGACTAAGTAATTTTTTTTAAGGCTATGGGACACCCCCGTCCTGCCTAGTTGAATCAGCCTGCCTCATGCACTAACAAAACGGTGCTCAAACCTTTGAGAATTCTTTTCAGTCAAAAATCATCAAGACATGGAAATTACACTGTGCTTATGTTGTTGCTTTTGTTTGCATGTTCGCATGATTTCACTGTTCCATTTTGGCATGTGTTGTTCCTGCATGTTTTATCATATCGCACCTTTTTGTTTTTAAGAAGCAAAAAGATAACCACAGTGTATGTCCATAGTCTGACAATTATTATATTAAAAAACTCAAAACATATTAAGCTAAATTTAAAACAAATCATTGAAAATAACTAAAATGAAATCAACAGCATTTCATTGCATAATGTATTTTGAGGGGGGGGGGGTTCATCCCATAGCCTTCGCCTCCCTTTCGCACCTAATTCTTTGATGTCACCAAAAACATCGACATAAAAAAATCTGGAAAAAAAGCAGAACTTTTTTGGTCAAGTTGGTGGTATTGATATTTCTTCAGGGAAGTTGCTTTTTCATTGGAAAGCCTCCCTTTTAACAATGAAAAACCACTGACTTATTAAAATATTTAAATAATTGTTTGCAGTGAGGTTCCTTCTATCATTTTCCTTAACTTACTATTGACCATCCAAAATCAAACGAGGATGACAACGGATACCTCTGATGAGGAAGAAGCCACTGGTTGAGGATGACCTTGCACTCCCCGTCCCAGGAGCCAGAAGCAGGGAGGAGGACCAACAGATGAACTGATGATTCTGTAGTGAGCTAGCCATTTCTGATTCTCAAGGTTAGTTTCCTCTATAAGAAGAGAAAAGAAAAGAAGATGATGCCACAAAATGAAAAGGCTAGTTTATCTCCTTTTCAGCTTAATTGCCTTATATGATAATGACACAAGTGCAGATTATTTTGAAATTAAACTTAACTTTGTTTCGCTATATTTTTCTTTCTATCATGTTTAGAAGTGTGGATGAGTCTTGGATTGATGGAGACTTGGAGATGCCGAATTTGGAGACACACCAAACCACCAACACAGATGTACCTTTAGAAACCGGAAGCAGTGAGGAGGACCGACAGATGAACTGAAGACCCTACTCACTGAGCTAGCCATTTCTGATTTTTAAGGTTAGTTTCCTCCAAAGAAAAGGAAGATGGTGTTATAAAGTAAAAAAGAACCATCGGTAACTCATCATTTTGCTGCTGTATTGCCTTGCAAGATGTCCCGAGTGACCCGAGTATTACATTAAACTGTTTTGGTCTTTTGTTCTCCAAATAATTTATCCTATTTAGAAACCTGGCTGAGTATTGATGAAGACCTGGATGGAGAGTCTGTTTGTTGACTTGACGCCTGAAACCATCATCACATATGACTGAGGAACCGGAAGCAGGGAGGAGGAACGACAGAAGAGCGGAAGACCCTGCTTGCTGGGCTCCCCATTTCCGATTTTTAAAGTGAGTTGAAAAAGAGCTACAAATAGATAATAGAATAATGTCATAATTATCAAAACTAATTTTCACTCTTCTGGTCAGGTTTCCTGTTGCAGAATGAAGTGCGTCTCTTGCCAATTCCGATTCTGAACTGTTTTCTTCTCTCTTTGTTTTTGACATTTTAATAGAAAATGGAGCCTGTCATACCGGGATGAGAGCGGTCAGATGAAGAGGATTCTGACTGAGGGTGACTTTGCCCTCCTCACCCACTTCTGCTGACACTAAGGAGGAGGAAACAGGGAGGAGAACAAACAGAATGACTGTGGACTGTACTTGCTGAGCTTGCCAGGAATTCCTACAAACTTAGAATTAGGACAGTGTCTGACACACTTCATTATGGAGAGAAAACCCCATCGAAGAATTGGGCAGGAAACTTCATTATTACTAAATAAACTTATTCTAAGAGATGAAATGAACCTCAGTGGCATGCGTCTAGAACAAAGTCAGACGCCTGGAACATTGTCAGGATGAAAAAGCTTTATGCCTTAAATATTTTACAATTGAACCGTCAGTGACATTTCAGCAATTCAGTGAAGACGAGCTGCAATGAACATCAGTCACACTTTACTTAAAATATTATCCTGAAAGCTCATGCATTAGGTTTGTCATAATTATAAAGTAAATGAGACACAAACTACTGATAAAACTTGTAATTCCTGGAGGAAGACGAGGAAGAACTGAGATGTTTGTTTTCATAAAGTTTTCCAAAGCAAACACGATTTACAAAAAGAACCCCGGAGCAATCAAAACGGACATTGGCTGGTACTTTGTATGACCATTGAGGAAGTAACGGATTCCATCCTGTCCAATAAACTCGCCCCCCACCCCAAAAAAACCCCAAACACAATACAATCGGTTTCTTATAACTGTCTGTTAACCAAATAAAGTGAAGTTACTCTGTGAAAAAGTGGTGATTGAAAGTCAAAAGAAAACAAAAGAATCTTCAATCGTCACTTCCAATCATCATTTTACGCCCCGATTCGCATGCTCTCTGTACTGCATGTACTGTGTGATTATTTCATTTGTACGGTGAAATTATTTCTTGTGTACAGTGTGATTATTTGATGTGTTGTGTACTTTCTTCCAGTAATTTTAGAAATTTCGAGTTTCTGACTATTCACAGATCTGCAATACTCGGACAAAACCAAACAAAGTCAAAGTTTTAGAGAAATAAATAAAATCAGTGTTATTATTTATTTCTCAAAATTTAAGGTGCTATACGATACGATACAATAGCGGTAGTGTGAGGGAAATAGTATTTAAAAAAGTAATACTTTACTCACTCAAAAACGAAAGAAATTAAATGATATACGATACGATACGATACGAAGTGATACAAATAATTTCGATTCTTCATTGAAAATTTCAGCCACAAAAATGATTAAATGACGCGTGTGAAATAAATAATACTTGAAATTTTATAATCGACAAAAGAAAGAAATATAAACGCAACAAAAATAAATATTGAGGTTAAACAAAGCGGAGGTGAAAAAAAAATTGAAAAAAGGGTATTTTTTTTCTCATCCCTCCAAAAAGGGAGAGAAAGAAATTATACTTGAAAATCGGTGTTATTTATTTCTCAAAGGTGCAATACGACACTTTACGATACTACAAAATACGATACATACAACACGATGCGGTACGCCACTACACGATACGTTACGATACGTTACGATACGATAATAGCGGTGGTTAGAAAAATGCTATTAAAAAGTGTTATTTTTCTCAGTACCCACTAAAACAGTTACGAAATGATACTAAATAAAAAACGAAATGATTTACGATACGATTCGAAATGATACGGGGAAGGGGGGGGGGGGGGGGGGGTAAATACCCCCCCCAATATTTTGTAAAGACTGCCTTTTTCCATTCAAATGCCCCTTTTTTTCAAGGGGCTTACCCCCCCCCCCAATGATTTTTAAAGAGTGCCCTTTTTTTACGAAGTGCCCTTTTTTTTACGAAGTGCCCTTTTCAAAAAAGAAGTGGTGCCCTTTTTTGTGGCATCTGCCGTTTTGGGTGACTTTTTCAGAATTTCGCACATGTATCGCCCTGAAAAGCACCATATATTGGCCCTTTGTGTGCATAATTGTCGGTTTTGAACAGCGCCCCCATCGACAAAACCCCCTCCCCTGCTTTTTTTATTTTACGGAGGCCAAGTGTCCGGAGAAAAAAAAAAATTCTACATTTCACAACGGATGTACAAGTGCCCTTTTCAAAAAAAATTGTCCCCCCCCCCCAATAAAAATGACCGTGCTACGCCCCTGCAAGCCATCTCGATGCTCGCGAATTTTTTCTTCGTCGAAATGTTCAGCTTTCTTTTTCCAGTCTTGATCTGCATCTCATGACATGTCACGTGTCACCTTCACAAGATTTAATTTCAGCTGTGTCTTGTAATTTTTAATTGAAACGTAAGTCCGATCTATAAATGCATCGGCAGGGATTCATGTGGCGTATGTCACTTTTTTCCTAGCCGTGACTTGATTTTTTTTTCAGTAAGTCCGATGTTCGACGATCGGCAGTAACACTTCTGATATTTGTCTTCTTCAGAATGTTTAATTTTGTTGATAGGTACTGTGGCACCATGCCATGCCGTCTCCAAAAGTAACTTTTAGCCCCATTTTGAATTAAAAAAAACCGATCGGCAGGGAAGCACTTGTGGCATTATGTCGCCTTAATTGTCTTCCGGATTTAGAGTAAGTCCAGTCTGCAACGAGTAGCAAGCCGCGTTCGACATTATTGCCTTCAAAAGTCATACATGTATGTACATGTATTTGTAGCTTGATAGATTTATCAAAGTAGGCCTGATCGCTAAGTATGCAGCTTTTTTGACACACTTGTTTCTTTCCCTTTTTTTCTCAAAATAACTATTTTGTTGGCCGGGCCAAAATAAGTAGGCTAAGTCTTTTCTAACCATCTTTGGAGATACGGTGTGACCTAGCTAGGCTGGGTCGAGTGTTCTTTCTCCCCGTAGCTTACTCAGCCAAGAGAATATGAACTGACTGGACTAGAGGCTACTTTGAAGGAAGGAAAAGAATCCCTCCGAGAAACCGAAGGCAGTGAGGACAGGCGGACGAACTGGCGACCGTTCTTGCCATGCAAGCCATTTTTGACAGGTTGGTCAGAGGTGTGCAAAGGTCATTTGTATTTAGAGGGGGGCCAGACGTGAAAAAAGGGCGTTTCTCCTTCTCCATGCTCGCATCATTCGTGCTAAAGACTTTTTAAAAGAGTTTCAGAGGCCCCTTACTAAAACAAACATGAACTGAGTATCTTGGGAGACCGCTTAGAGGGAAATGCGCCCTCTCTGTCATGCACGGAGCGCATTATCTCAACTCGAATTGTTGGCACTTGAGGGCGCTACCGCTCATGTACGATACCGTCGTCGGCTTGTTGTTTCTAAGGTAATCAAATCTTGCATTTACTATTTTTGGATTCGTTTCTGAATCCTATTCGGGTCCTTTATGATATGAATGTGATAATGGGATGCTTTTACGAATTTCGGAGTGTGTGAATATGAATATGAGCATGTCAGCTGGAGTTACTCTAGCCCCATAATGTGGCCTATTTACTGGACTGCCTCCGTAAACATAGGCCACACGTCCACATGTACAAAAAACGTGTCGACTTTGCCAAATTTTGATTTTCACATTTAGGCTTAGTTTGTAGGATTTTTTTGCTTTAGAAGCATACTCACCCACTTTATAGGCTAGTCAGAAAGTGCTGCCTTTTTCAGATGTCTAATTTTTGTGAAATTTCATGTTGAAATTTTGATACGCAAACGTGTAAAAATGAATCTGGAAATTTCACGAAAAATATACATCTGAAAAAGGCAGCACTTTCTGATTAGCCTATAAAGGGGGTGAGTATGCTTCTAAAGCAAAAAAATCCTACCAACTAAGCCTAAATGTGAAAATCAAAATTTGGCAAAGTCGACACGTTTTTTGTACATGTGGACGTGTGGCCTATGTTTACGGAGGCAGTCCAGTAAATAGGCCACATTTATGGGGCTAGAGTTACTCAAGCTAGCGGCTCGGCACACTGATTAGGGCCTAGTGACTAGCGCCATAAATGTGGCCAATTTACTGGACTAGCCTAGGCCTACCGCTGTAAATAAAGTCCACACTAGAAACATGTACCCGAAAATGTAGAACTTTGTCAAACTTTTATTTTCACATTCAGACTTTGTTTGTAGTTTATTTACGCTTTAGAAGCACACTCCCCTCTTTAATTATTAAAGCGATAGAAAATTAGTGCCCCCTTTAATCAGATATCTATATTTTGCGTATTTTCCAGGTTCGTTTGTGCACGCTTGCTTCTCTAAATTCCAACACAAAATTACACGATAACTAGATGTCTGAAAAAGGGGGGACTAATTTTCTATTGCTATAAAGAGGGTGAGTATCCTTCTAAAGTGTAAATAAACTACAAATAAATTCTAAATGTGAAAATCCAAATTTGACAAAGTTTACATATTCAGGTACATGGTCCAAATGTGGCCTTTATTTACGGAAGTAGTTCTGTAAATTGGCCACATTTATGGGGCTAGCTCAGCACCCACTGCCAACTCAGCACATCGCGAACTCGGCACCTACCAACTCAGCACCTTGCCAACTCGGCACCTGCCAACTCGGAACCTGTACAAGAACAAGTCAGCATGAAGCAACAATCTGATTGTGCACCCGGCCAACTCGGCATCTCTGGTGTGGTATCCAGTATCACAGCGTTCTTCGGCAGTGCAGTTAGGCCATGAGAATAAAAGTCTCAGCGTCCACCGCCCGCACCTTCCTGCGAGAACCACACGATAATTTTGCAAAACTTCCATTTTATTTCAAAAAATACTATTTTCAATTACAAAAGACACCCCAAAACATAAGTTAGTCTAAAAATTCTTACTAAAGCATATTTGCATGTACATGTACATGTACTATGGGTGTTTGGTGTGCATGTTTGATGCCATGCTAGAGACTTAGGCCAGCACACTCCAACTTCGTGATCCTATCTGCAAAGCGCAGTACAGTACACATCCTGTGTATGTACATTCTGTGTGCTGACATCATATTTAAAACGGACTCCTGTGAAAATCGGACACATTTTCCCTTTCATTGATTAATCCCTCACACGTGACCAGTCACTCTAATTGAGTGCCACGTTAGCAGACTCTACTATTCTAGGATCCTTTTTATTAAGACTAGTAAAACAAAAGCAGCCAGACAGCTTCAATAAAAGCCTATTGTTACTTTGTAATGGCCAAATGTTGCATGTTTTACTTTTTTCCCACAACAGTTCCCTGAATTGCCCTCAAGATGGACCTGCCTGGTGGAGGAATCACAGCACTTGCACAACTTCTCAAACCTCCTGACCAAGAAAGTGGTGATGAGGATGACAAGGTGGCTCAAGTATTATGGCTCAGAAGCCGTTTGACGGATACCGTCATTTTAAACTTTTTTGGGGGGGGGAGGCATTACAATGAAAATACGTCCCACCATGCAACTGTAGTAGAGCATGATGGGAAGTATTGTCATCATAAACCCCCCCCCAATTTTAAAGATGGTGCTATCCACGAAACGGCTTAATGCAAATAAGTTCTCAGTTGGCTTATTTACCCGTTTACACCTGTATTACACTGTACTGCATTGTATTACTTTGAATTGCGCTGTGTTTATTCCCTGTGTATGTCTTTTGGAAAAAAATAGTACTGGGGCTGTTTAACCAGTTCGCGCCAGGATTATTTTTGCCAAAAATGTACAAGACATAGCAGCCAACTTTTGATTACAGCCAAACACCACAAATGCTGATTTGCAAGAGTCATTTCAGCAGTATTTGTACGATATTTCTTACCGCAACCTCACATCTTTCAACACTCCGAGTTGTGCCCATGGAGCATGAATGCCATTACAAATGGAAAAATACTGTTTAAAGTCTGATGTGGTTTAGAATTTCCATGTTTTTTTCAAAAATGCCAGTTGCATAGCGTGACCACAATTGTGTGTGTGTACAAAACTAATAGGGGATTAGCATGTGAAGACATCGTCTGGAGATGGGTCTAGGCACGCTTGACGTTTAAACCCGTCAGCCGTGCCTGTGCATAGAAACAGCCAGATTGTGTTAACGCGTCATCCGATGCGAACTGGTTAAAACATTGGTTAGGGACCAACGGGTTAAGTTGAATGGGTGTGTATGTAACTTCACATGCTGTAGTTATGCACGGGTACGCTCCCAAAGTTGCCTGTATTTTTATGATAAATAGGTGCCACCTGATGAAGTCTGCCTTCATTTCCCATGATATGCTAAGGATTGATGACAGTTTTCTGTCTTTGCAACTTCCTTTTAGCCAGTGACTGCTTCAGCCAAACTCGGCCCAGGAGCAATAGGCCTATCTGCCAAGAGTCAAGCCGCTACAAAACGTAAGAATGGTGTTTCCAAAATTAATAAAATATGGATTTATTTATTTGTTTTCTTTGAAGTATTTTAACGTTTCTATTTTATATATTGTAGACCAAGACACTTCGAAAAAGGAGAGCAAAGACATCTGGGATGCTGATGAGGTTCCCGAGGGAGCAGAGTTTGATGACACTGATGACCCAAGACCTCAACCAGAGTAAGTGAACATCCACTCCCTCACCCTATCTCCCTACCAACAACGTGCCTCCCACTGCCTTGTTTTATTAATGGTTGAGCCTGGAAATCAAGCATGACCTTCACAAAGAAATTGGAATAATGAGGGTTTGCGGCTCACAATGCATATTTTAGTGTTATTAAGGGGCATGCCTCCTGTGAGGTGCAGGCACACAACTTTGACCGAGACAAAGTGTCTATGTTAATAAGGTTGAATTTACATTGGGGTGATGTAAATTCAATATTGGGTTTGCCCTTCACCGACGTATTTAAAAAGAAACCACTGTATACTCTGTGTTTTTTTGAGTGATTGTGAGAAAAAAATCACTCGGGTTGGACATAAACCCACGACCTCCTCCTTACTAGTGCCGACGTCTTAGCACTCGACCACCGAGCTTGCTGGGGTCAGCTGGCTGGTTCAAATCTGAATTATGAATAGTTTGGCTTTGGTAGCCGCTGCTATATCAGGTTCGAACCAGGCAATTGACCCTGGCAAGCATGGTGGTCAAAGTGGTAAGACGTCTTCAGTAGTAAGCAGGAGGTCATTGGTCTGAGACCAACCTGAGTGATTTTTTTCTCACCAGCACTCAGGAAAACACTGAGTATATGGTGTTTATAAAAATGTAAAAAAAATACTGTATTTTGATGTTGTCTTCCAGATATGATATTATCTTCAAGCAAGCAGTTACGACAGAAGACATGTTTCTGCAGATGAGCAACAAGACACCGAGCTCAGTCAGCTGTGAAGATATGGTGGTGAGTCTTGAATACATCCTGCTCCAGATTTGTAGACAAGTCACCACAAGCAGCAATATATGCCTCGCTTGTTTGTTTGTGTTTTGCTTCCATTTATTTCCATAAATGTTGGATCCGCACTGAAGACTCAATCAGAAGTCATCAGGATACATCATGTCATCCACAAGTGGTCACATGTCATTATGCCTAGGGAGTTCAGACTACCATAATTTCATTAAAAAAAATTTAGTTGTTAATTCATGGAAGGCTTTTGTTTCGTGAAACTTTGTTGCATATATTTGTCATTGGTTGCATCATACAGATAAAGATAAGTTTGCCAGACACAAAGATGGCTGATGTCGACCTGGATCTCAAAGACAAGTTTCTCAGCTGCAGAACACCAAACTAGTAAGTAATTCAAAATTCAAAAGCTCCCAAACTGTTGAATTGTGAGAAAAACCTCAAAATCCATACTTCATTTTGTTTGCCGGTTTGAAGATAAAACCATGTCATCCAATACAGTTATTTAATCAAAAAGTTACAACATTGCTTTGACAATCTTATTGAAATTTACAGGTATCGCATTCACCAAAAGAGGTGCACTTCATTTTTTTTCTGTTCTTACAGCAAGCTCGGTCTTCACCTACCACACCCCGTGGACAGCAAGAATGGCAAAGCCCAGTGGATCAGCGACAAGCAAACGCTGGTTGTAACATGCAGGATGGTTCGAGAGTATGACTTCCTGACTGCGTGACCAACACATGGCGCTATATAAGATATTGGCAGTTAATTGTGTGAATGCTAAATTGGGCATTAGCAGCACATAGAATCACCATTTACATAAAATGGTTCATTGTCATTTCTGTGTACAAGGGTTTGATAACAGAGTGTCAGAATATCTGCTTTGTTCACCAAAGGAACATTCGAAGTGAAACGGAACTTGAGGTATCAAGTGTCCAGACAAGTTCTTTGTAGCTTTGAGTGATTCTATCGTATCATTTCTTTCCTTGTGTATACACAAAACAGGACTATTTTGATGAAACTGTTTTCGCATTTGAGATTTTTTCTAAAGATTGGTTTTAAGAAATAAAAGCTCAAGTGTAGAGGTGAACTTCATAAACCCCTTAGTTTACTTATTTTGGTTTATATTACTGACAAACATGTAATTTAAAAGCCTAAAAATAGTGGCAATTCATTCAAATCCGTCCTTTTTTATGAAAATGGAAGCAGTTTTGTTTTTATAGTGGTTTTTGTACATGTATATATTTGAACATTGAAAAAAAAAGCACAGAAAAGAAATTTGAGTTGTCTTTCATTTATTCAAAGAAACTGAGATTAGAAATTATTGATCAGCCATATTTTGGAAATAGATTCTTATCCAAATGTCTCAAAGACAAGAACTTAAAGGGAATATACAACATTTGCAAACATAAAAAAACCCAATGATCAAATTATCACGAAATATCTTTCTGGATTGTTAGGGAATGACAGTCTAAAGCATCCTGTAAAGTTGTGGCACCTGGTGTGCTGATATTTTCAAGAAAAACTGTATTTTTCCAACGCTGGTCGGCCGACCAGCGTTGGAGAAAACTGGCTTTTTTCAAAAAGTGCTCCTAATTTTCCATATTCAGTTCGTCCGCATTTTCTTTGCAATTGATTACACACCTGTGAAGACTACAAGCCTGCTAGACTGATTCTCTGATCTAACAATTCCCCAAAGTCTGTAAATTGCTCCGTTTTATCTTAAGTGGGGTCAGGGAACCAGACTACAAAAATATGATTGGTTTTCTTGGTTTTTCCAGCATCTACGAACCCAAAACGTGAAACAAGTCAGTGTTACAATATTTTCTATAATATACTTATCCTCCAAATCCATTTATTTCTGAAAATTGCAGCAAAAGCAAATATTGTACATCATCCCTTTAAGACGAGCTTTTCAACAGAAGTTCAGGATTATTCCTAAATTATAATCATAACTTCAACCCCTTTTAAAAATCTTAGACAAGCCACGCCCATAAGAACTGTATGAATTAATATTAGAATGAGAAAAGGTCTTATCCTGATGTAACAATGGTGATTGTGTTCGCCACTGACTGGCAAGAATAACAAATTGACCCCAAAATCCAATATTTTAATATTTTTAATAAATAAAGACGTAGAATACGTTTTGGCCCTTTTTACGACCCGTCTCTGATTAAAATTCAAGAACGATTAAAGTAAACTTTAGACCAATCACCGCCGTCCTTAGAGAAGGACAAATCGGCCATCTTGAATTCAGGCTCAAGGGTGCGGACCAGTAAATAGGCCCAAATTGCCCACGCAAGCCAAATCACGATTTGCATGCCCTCAATTGTTTTTGCTGTTGGAGCATTTTGGGGGCCATCAACTTGAAAGTCTGTAAAAAAAAAAATAGAAAGGTGGAAGCCGCGCACGGGACTACAAGCTGATATTTCTGTGAAATTGGGCCCGAAAATTGCTCTATTTTGCAAAATGGCAATGAGCTAAACGACTACTTTTAAGGACGAGCATTTTTGGATGGAATGTTTTCCAAAAAAGTCATTGCATAACCCCTTAAAATTGAACAGAATACGAAAGATGATGAAATGAGCATTAATTCGATTGGTGTCTCAAAGACCTTGGAGAGTTGTGAGCATTTGAAATATTTTTGGAACTGCGCGTAATTATCACTGAGGTCTATTACGGCGGTCGATTTGCATTTTGCTTGCACCGCCCTCCCCTCCCCACCTTTTCGATATTTTGCAGTTTGCATCTTGGGCAGTTTCTCCATCCAATTGAGGAGGAGGAATGTTCTTGCACAAACAGACAAACTAAACAAACGGACAGCGAGTGGGTAAATACTGCTGCTGTGTTGCTGTCCATATCACGACCTACCACCATGCCATTTATATTTAACAATGGGATTAATAAGTAGATATGAATGACATCGCATGAGGTGGTGTAAACATTACAGTTCAAACAATAATCCCATTCCGAGGTACCGGTGGCTACAAATAATAGTATGTAAGTCCCCCCCCCCTCCCAAAGAGTTTCTCCACCTATTTCGGCATTGCAGGCAGTGATCTTACAGTCTTTCCGTGTAATTCTTTATACTGTACACAGTCGATGAGAAATTATTTGAACGCCAATTTTGAGATTTGCTTCTGGTACATTTAACGCTAGCATTTACAGATTGAAATTATTTTTTTTAAAGTATAGGTCTTTTAAATCTGCCACTACCAGGCTGTTGCTTCCTGTAGTAGTTAGGGCTAATTCAATTGATGAATTTGTGCATGTCGTAATGTTGATAGAATACGAGAAACGGTTTGTATAAAATCCAAATTTCTCCTTAAGGAAAAAATCGTATTTAATTCCCACACTGATTTAAACTTCTTTGTTGGGGTAGCTTATTATGACCGAACCTAATCCCAGACGACGTTATCTTTCTAATAATTTGTTTTTCTTTGTGAAGACCTGTTTCTGATAAAGCATTTTATGGTGCTAGACATGGCGTTTAGTGCCCTAATTTTGTTGTCATGATTATATCAGTGTGTCATTAGGCCTACTTTTGAAGTCGATCTATCCGTAAAATCCGCCACTCCACCAAGCTTTTCGACAAGGTGACACCTGTACATGAACACAGTGTACTTTGGTCACCTGGGATACAACCACCAGTCGCCTATGAATGTTGACATTTTTTATGTTGACAATCTTTGCTTATCACCATCAGAAATCAGCTGCAAGTAGCGGAGCAACATGATAAGGCATGTTGCCTATCTCGGAAACGATCCGTCGTTAAATGACAGCTCAAGTTCGGGACTTTTGAATCGGTTTGGGCATTTGACATTTTCGCTTCAGGGAATAAGTGTGCAGCGTAGTATTCCCTCCTCCCCCCCCCAACCCCCCCCCCCCCAACTGCATTGCTTATGCTTGGAATTAAAGGAAAAAGGAAAACTCTGTATTGTCGCTATTCTATCTTACAAAAGCATGTGGTTGGTATCTCGGCCTATTAGATTTTGCCCCAGAATAAGAAGTTTAGGAGAACTGCAGCAATTTCTGATTGAAATTAGCGGGTTTGCAAACCCAAATAATTGTACCCCTCGCGTTAAGTTATTGCTTTATTTCAAGAACTATTTTGTGCAAATATCGCCAAGGATGCAGCACCTCAAACTGCCACAAGGACTGTCGCCCTCGGTCCAAAAATAGACCCAAATCTTTTCAAATAAAATGTCTTAAACACTTAACAGAAGCATTTCACTGTCAGTCAATAGTTGTTGTGATTGAGAAGACAAACACTTGTGACCGCGTTTATCGAGTGGGCATGCAGGATGGGGGGCGGGGGGGGGGGGGGCATGCCGGGGGACGAAATGGGCCACTAATCCGATAGCTGAGGGGGTAACACCGTTACCTGGGGAGCAGGGTAGTTGTGTGACCGACGGCAGTTCTATGGAGCGTTTTTTTTAAATGCATTGTAAAATATTTCATTTTCAAGACTGAATTATCCTGTACTTACACCAGTAAAATTATTTTTATTGACACTTAAAATGAGAACAATCTTGAAGGATTTCAAAGAAATGTATTCCATGAGTACAATTTGTTTTGTATCAAGCGCCTGGTAACACAATCATACATCGGCCGTCGGAGTTGGTGACCGCCGCAACCTCACAACCGACAAATTTGCCATCATTGCTATCATGACTTTATTAGCTGATCTATTACTGATGCATCTCGGCCGGCCATGATCGTTTTTCGTTTTGCTCTTCAAATAATGTGGCATGAAATACCGTAGTTCTTGGGATTTTGAGAATTCCAGAAGAATGTCAACTGTGTACGCTTTCATCATCAAATGATCTTATACAAAGGATTTGGCGGCATGGTGCTAAAGTTTTCTGCAGTAGCCCCTCAGGCACATGTTGCGGAATGTATTCTATACTTGGCAACCTTACAAGTGTCATGGACACGGTCTTTCAGCCAAGAGGGAGCAGTGGATGGAGAGACTAAATTATGCCTCATTTAGGCCAATCAAAAGGCGACATGGAGCTGACAAGGAACGCTGATACGAGACGATGCCATTGTTGAGCCGAGTCACACATCACCGAGGAGAGGGGAAATGGGAAGTTGGATCTAAGAATCGTCCTCGGACACAATAATTATTTCGCTGACAGCCAGAAAACTGATTATTACGGAGAAAGCAATCTGTAGGTTGAGGAAAGACGAAAATGTTTTCAATTTCTACCCAATGCTGAGAAAGGTAACATTTGAAACCTCTTTATATATCCATGTTTTTTTCCGAACACGATTCCAATTGATGACGATGTCGTTAACCCGGACACGCCAGGTTTCGGTTTGATTTTTGAAAATTTTGGAAATTCGCCGCTCCGACTTGATTAACTAGTTCATTCATATCTAGCATGGATGGGGAGCGACTCTACAGGAAGGAGGGATATTGGATCACCGTGCCTTTCATTGAAACCGTTTAATCCGCACAGCACAGGCTACAAGTTGGTTTTCAGTAAACTTGAATGAGCTTTTGTTGTGCAATAGCCTAGATATTTACCTGATATTAAGGTGTCGATGTTGCTGATGTATACGCGGTCTGAAATTTTCTAAAGGGATTTGGCGGCGTTTGTAATAGACCTTTTCCAAACCTTTTTGTCATCCATGTTGCACTTTTTACCAGACTTTGTATGTTGGTCCCACAGATCCTGTTTCAATCCCGAAATGGATTCCGAACTTCACATGAAGTGACGCAAAAGTGAACACAGCCGCCCCATGCACCCGGATTCAACATGATAATAGAGTGTTTTTATCGAAGTGTCAAATAGCACACGATATGACAATACCGGGTGAATATCCGGTTTGGTTCCAATTTTGTGAACGACACAGGGTGTCTAGCCAATGACCTCTCGCTGAAGTATCCATTTCGGGGATTTCAAAGTCTCACCATGAAAGAATCAGGCACATTAGTTACCGACAATCCAAACTTGAATGGGCGACTCAGTGCCAGTTTGTCCAATGCCAAGGAGAAGTCGGCAAGCAAAGCTCTGATGGGGCTGAAACACCTGAAGGCAGACGACATCGGTGTGTTAAGGTACACCCGATCGTCGGAGTTTGGCACGCAGGTGAAATGCAGCAATCACGCCCATGATGTCTCTTCTCGGAAACAGGTGAATATGTGGCACCGAGATCAGCGGATTGCCGTGGACAAACTGGCTCGCGGGCAGCAGAAGATGTTCCGCAATCTGATCCGCGTCCAGAATGAGAAGAGACGCATACAGAGACAGGCTCGCATCAGGAAACAACGAGAGATGCAGATTGAACTGAGGGAGAGAGCAGTGCGAGAGAGGGAGGAGGCACAGAAAAGACTGAGAGATATGATCATGACGGAGGTACACAGCAAAGAGGTTCCAGAAGATGATGAGAAAACATCACCTCGGCCGTTACCTGGGATCAGAGAGGAAATCGACACGGAGATGGGAGATGTAAGCAAAGGGGATGCAAACAACTCGGCCTTGACTGACTGGTCCATTAACTCAATCAGATCTTCTCTCTCTGGTGATAACTCACCAGTTAAAACCACGAGACAGAGCTCAACCACGCCCAAGACGACATCAAGCCGGTCGCCATCTGCAACTCAAACTCGAGAAGTGTCACAGGTACTTGAGACAGTCAGCAAAGCCAACTTGTCTCTTTTCCAATATGACAAAGAAAAGTCTGTCATTAAAGAAAGTGGTATGGGACTCGTTTCCAGGCCTCATTTCTCCAGAGAAGCCAAACAATCAATGGACTATAATTCAAACGTAGCTGGTGACACAGATGTTAGACATTCCGTCCTCGATTTCGAAAAAGATGACAAGGTGCTCGAATTAAATTCAAACATAGTCCTACCCGGGATTGTCACCAAAATCCCCAAAGACCCTCCAAGCCAAACATTTGAGGATGGAGCGTCTTATGAAAGCAATGATTCGGTTTTTGAGGGAGATGTCCCAACAGCGGCATCTAGAGCCAAAGATCAGACAACAACTGAGAAAACAAAACGCAAACCAAGCGAACGGGCTGGACCGAAGAGCAAGTATCACATCGGTATCGCTAACCGGACCTTCCGCCTGCCTGAGTATCAAGCCCCGGTCGTGACGAGCGTGGTGCGGTATCAGCGCAACAGCGCGGGGAGTTTGGTACCGAGTGAAGTGGCAGTCAAGCCGGCATCGGAGGAGTACAAGTTACCGTCCCGGCGGGCTGAGTACATGGTGGAGAAAGCTTTGGAATGGGAGAGGAGGAGAGAAGATGTCCGAGAGAAGAAGCTACAGGGATTCTTGGAGAGGATGAAGGAATTAGGTAAGATTAAGAAGAAGCCTTTGAATGAGTGGATCCGGGGGGAAAAGGAAGTGGCTAAAAAGTCAACTTATACAGTCTATTCAGATGAGTACAGGAACAACAAATAATTGTTTGCACATCCTGGGTTCCATCCAATGTGTTAAAGACATTCCTTTATTAACCCCTTTAATTGCGTGTCTTGCAAAAAGTTAATGAATTTCACTCTTGTTGTTTAGTGTAGACTGCTGTTATCAATATTTGTATAAATCCTGTTATAATTAGTTAAGGGAAAAGATCTACATGTATTTTCAAAACGCGTTAACAGTTCAATACGCAATTTCATCTCATCCGTATATCATCAACGTCTCGCTTTACAGTAGGGACCGCACGCACGAGGGAATGTTTTCGCCGTATAATTTTTCACCAGACAACAGCGCTAAATGGAAATATTTACTGCCCGTCTGGTTTCAATCAACAAAAGAAAAGTGAGGATATTTTTGGCAATTTGGCTGCAGTTCGATGAAACAGTGTGAGACGAGGTCGTCTCTCCGACCCACCCTTTGATAGCTTTGCGATCTTGTTTCAGACCTTGGGGATAATTGCTGTTGTCGCATCCGGGTTTGTTTTTTACGAGTACTGAAAACGAAATCTTGGATTCAGTTCCAAGCTATGATGTAAACAAATGTTTATAAATACATTTCTGCATGTCTGGCTGCATTAGTAAGCCAACCTTTATCGCATCTGCCATGGTTTACGAGCTGGTGCACTTTCAAGAAATACTTTCGAAACTAAACATTCCGAGTTTTTTGTGTTATACTTTCTAATTTAGCCCCCCCCCCGTCCCAAATACACTGTGACTGTTGACCACTATATTATACATTATTTCATATTGCACATTATAGTTTTGGCTTGATTTGCAACCTCTAATTATTCCTGCATAGTAAGTGTGGAGATATTCCGAATTCACAATGCTTGCTCCTGTAGAGTCCATCCCTTCTTAATTAAATCCTACATTATCGATTTTTGAAAAGCAGTTATTTCAAATGACCATGCAACCATCTGAACTATACAGCAGATCCTTAAAGTCAATATTGTGAATTAACTCATCAAACTTTCACCGAGAATATCATCTCGAAGTAATTACAGAGTGTTTGCTGCAATCGATGCACTGATTGCTACCTCATTTTTAATTAAACAAGAGCTTGATGCCTCGTTTACGTGCTATCAAGTCTTTATGTTCTCCTCTTGCCATCAATTAACGCAACGAATTTGCTTTCTGATTGAACCAGAGTTTGGACAAATTAACATGTCGGCGATGAAAGTGATGCAACTGAGATCATGGGTGGATCGGGACTGGGGGCAGATGGATCCAAACCACTTTTATTTGGTTAATTTGTATTTACAAAAAAAGGAAGTAAAAATGGAATAGAGACAGTTCTTTGATGCGCATAATTAAGCCCATACACATTCAAAAATGCAGTTTTAACACCTTCAAACCTATTTTACTCCACGGGGGCGGAGTTAGGAGAAACTGAACTTGTGGGGAGTCCGGAATTTGGAGTAAGATCTGAAGTACATTCTGATCCTGATTTTTTTCTTATTTGCAGAGCGAAGAGAGAAGATGGAATCCCGGCTTGCTACGAGTCTAGACTACGCAAGACACGATGCATTTCACCATCATCATCAAGCCCACCATACCGTGGATCGGGCCACAAGCCCCCCGCATCCGCCGACGTACCGCACGCTCCACCGATCAGCAGGCGAGGCACTGGAGAAGTATCACCTTAAAGGAGATGTGCAGGACGTGAAGAATTGCCGGTATCTACGGCTGAACGACAAGGGGGAGGCATCGAGAGAAGACAGGGGAAAGATGGGTGGGGAGAGGGGTAGAAGGGGTCGGCGAATGTCCAGCTGGGGGATGGTGGGTGCGCCTCACGGGGATGGCTTGTCAACGAGCAAACTGCCACCCAAGCGTGGAGGACAACATAAGGGTCTTGGATTTTGAATACGACAGTATTATACTACTACATTTGTATCTAGTATTTTTTGGCATGGGTGTGACTCCACGGACTGAAACGGGGATCAATATGGAGTGGCGTTTTTTAAGAAAAGAATGAAATCTAACAAGTTATAAGGCTTAAACCATTATGTGTCCAAAAAAATAATCGTTTTAGTTCTTAACTTCATAGGCAGTGTGTGTGTGTGTGTGTGTGTGGGGGGGGGGGGGGGGGGGAGGGGGTATCCCCGGAAAAATATTCCACTTTTTAGGTTGGGGTGAGCTCAATGGTATCCACCTACGCCAATTTGTACTGTTAAGTGTATTAAAATTGAAAATTCGTCTGGTCATAATGACATTTACGTTCAATGAAAGAACAAATAATGAACATCCTGTCGGTCACTCAAATTCCTATTTAACAGTGCAAATTATCAGTGCAGACTGCCTGGAATATATAGGTACAGTTCATGTAATGAACAGCGCCCCCAGCCTACCTTTGAAATTATCCCCCAGTCGACTAGTCTGCGGCCTTGCCTTCCCCTTTTAAAATCTGGAAATCATGAACTCCCTCCCCTGCAAAAAATATGCTGAAACTGCAACTCATCATGTGAGAGAACAATCATTAAACCTTGGACTGGAATAATTTTACTTGGGACTTCAATACTTGTATTTAGCCCTTATTAATCAAATTATAGGCTTTGCCCTTCATTATGTTCATTAAGCCCTTATTAACTTAAAAAAAAGGAAGTGAAGGAATTAAAATTTTGATCAGTCATGTTATCTACGCAATAAGAAAGGCTGACAGTACGCTTTTTCAATATTTGTTGTGTTTTTATTTCTATTTTCTACACTGTACATTGTATTCAGTGATAATAGACTGTACAATTTTTATTTCAAATACTTGTCAATGTAATATGAAAATAAGCACAATTAATGCCAATGCCAAAGATGTAGGACATACATGTATGTGTGGATGTGTTTGTATATAGCAACAAACTTAAGTAAACAAAATACTAATAGTAATAATCAGTTTCAGATCTTCTTGGTCTATCCTTGCATTCTGCGGCCTGCCTCAAAAATTGAAAACTCGATTTTGATCCCACGATACAGCTGGTAAGAAGTGTCTTCTTCATAAAAAAAAACCCAAACAGTTAAATGTCAAATTCAAGGCAGCTGCAATTGTACACAATAAAAGTGTAACAATTTAACAAGACAAACGTTAACAATCATTCTGAAAGAAAAGAGTTTAAAATGAAATTCATCCACATTTGTGTCTAAACAGTAGATTGTGTGATTTCATTTTACACTTTGACTTATACATCTTTTTGGCAACAATGGATTCGATTTTGTGCTCAGTTAAAAATGTGTCATTGTTTTGCTTAATGACACCTGTTTTGACAGTTGTTAAGAAAATAATTATACATACATGTATGTTGCCAAATGAACATTAAATGTTTACACTAAACGAGGAAATTCAAGATTTGATTTGTCAAATGGATGTTTTTCACATGAATGCAACATGGTGTCAAATATAAACCCCACATTTATTACAGACAATACTGCGACACAAGCTATGTTTAGAATGATGAATGTGTATAAGCATAAAATAGTGACAAAATACATGTACGGAATACTAAAAAAGGATGACCCACATATCAGAAATGAATGGAACAAGGGAGGAAATTCTGGAGAAACCATTTAATATGACTGTTATTGCTAACCTAAAACTATCCCCCAAAGTATCCTATGAAACTTTTATGTTTGAGGAAGGCTTGAAAGAGCATGTGCATTATACTGCTGGCCGATTGTATGTCTGATCTTCACCACCAGAGGGCAGCATTCAAATTGTACAGTGGCAGGAAACACCAAATCCTAGCTTGCAGGAAAACAAGTTTAAGATGGAATTTAACCAATGTTAAATCCATATCAACGTCAATTAATGGAAAACATAATTCATTATTTTAACAGTAAGTGAATAAAATTTTGTCCAATCAAATAATAGAAAACAAGCTGTATTTCCCAACATGGCAAAACATTGAATTTACTAAAAGTGAATGTCTGAAAATATTTCAAACTCATTGTAATTATTGCGAACAGCACAACCTCAAAACAAATTTACCATTGAATGAAATGAACTCCAACCTGTGTGCTACATTCCAATTTCATTTGATTTATATTGCCTGGAACTTATACGAAAAATTATTTTCATTTTTCTGTCTTGCCTTTTTTCTCGGATTTTAATTTGGATACTGTCGTCAGTTCAGAAGAAATGTATAAATTCAATTTAAATGGAAAAGTTACATATATACAATTAATTACTATTAATATATAGTACAAAAAATAACTATGGTTGTAAACGAAACCCTCGCTACTTTTTCTTTGCGTCTTGCGCTGGTCGACATCTTGGACAGTACCATTTTCCCTTGGGTTTGAGGGTGAGTCCGACACAACCGAAGTGAAACCATTCAAATGGACAGTCTTTGTTGTCACATCCGACCATTTCACCATAGGAGACTTGGTTGCACAGGCAATAGGTAGGTTCGTTGGGATCTATTGGTGGATCAATGGGGGATGCTGCCCTCTCAGCCTTGTTGACTTTAGACCTCTTCTTCTTCTTGGCTGGCTTGACAACCTCATTGGTAGACACTCCTATCTCTTTATCTTTACCATTATCATGGCTACGCTGTCTCCTGGGTCGCTTCATGGCTTTCTCCTGGTTCCCCTCCACAACTTTCTTGACTACTTTGTTGTATGTCGCCTTCCCATAACCCGGTTTACCATAACCTGGTTTACCATAACCAGGTTTATTGTAGCCCTGCTTAGTGTAACCTGGTTTAGTATAGGCAGGTTTGGTGTAACCAGGTTTAGTATAGGGAGACTTGATGCTGACTTTGCTTGCTTCTTGGGCGCGTTGTTCCGTTCGTTCCCGTATGACCAAGCTTTCTGAGTTGGTCTCCATCTGTCTGAGTCGGTTCTCAGTCAGCTCTACAATCTGCGATGCTAGATGAAGCTTCTCATCGCCGAGTTCTTGGCTGCGGACGAGGGCATGTTGCATCTGTAGCAGACATCGACGACGAGCTGCTGCGTCTAGTTCCTTGTTGCTCAGAGTCTCATAGTGTTGATGAATCTCTTTCAGAATGGCTGTGAAAAAAATTTAAATAACACAATATTTTATTTCTTCCGTTATAAGTTACTTAAGGAGAATCATTTAAAACCAATACCTCCGGTACCATTCTTTTCTTGATAGCATTCCTTTTTTACTTAGACTGAGACTCATTTGGAAAGAATGTTGCAACCTGATGCCACTTTTTTTCTTCATGCATCACCTCAATAAAGGTCAGTGATTGCAAAAATGTTTAAAAGACATGAATGTTGGGCTGAGAAACATTTCCAATTTTGTAAGGAAATACAATGTACTTAGCAAACTTTCTTGACTTTCCATAGACTTTGTACGCAACTGCTGAAGTGGCGCGTCTGACTCTGAATACTACATGTGTATTCTTTCCCTTTTTTAATTATTTTATGACTATGCAAATAATTAATAGCGATATCTTCTTTGCGACTTTGGTCTTCTTTCCTTTTTAAACATCACTAGACAGACAAAACAGGAAAAAGTCCAACCCAAATAACCGATGCTCTATGATTATGTTTCAAAAATATGAGAAATCAACCACCATCATGACCATCGGCCCTGCCACCATCTTTAAAATTATTGCAAATGCAATGAAATTTATTGAAAATGAATGAACATCACAATCGTCGTATTCGAACGTCCAGAAAATCTTGTTCTATCTGAATTGTATAAAAACAAACATTCGTTACTTAGCACCACCTACTTTGTCCATTGAAGAAACAACTCTTTGACAAAAATTCAATGTCCACACCCCTGTAATTCAGACATTTTTGAACGTTTTACTGACTTACATTGATACAAACTGTCCACTTCCCGCATTTGCGAGACATTCCGCTGTAAATCGTTGGGCAGCGATTCTATGCAGTCCAAATAATCCTCAACGTACACCGTTGATTTGGCGGTATCCAGGGAGCCTTGACCAAACATGGCTTCTTCACTTCGTTGATAAAAGCTGAAAAAATAACTTCGAAATGGAAAATGTTCTTTGGGCAGATTTTTGAGGCAGACAACACACAAATTCGTAAACGACATTCACACAAACAGTACCGCTTCTGCTTGTTTAGCCTGGATTCCGACCCTCTTTGTTCGTACGCGCGAGGTTAACTAGGGCACAATATGCACATGCAATTTCTGTGCGGAGGCGGGGATACGACGTACATAATTTTTTTCCCCCAATGTTATTTAACCGAGCATGCGCTGTGACCTTAAGATTATCCTCGTCGAGTTGGGCTGTACTATTATTTCATACAGAGGGATGATATTTAAAAAATATTATTGAACATGACAAGTAGTATGAATATCTGTTCTGAAATTAGTTAATTTAATTTTTTTTTATTTATAAATACAAAAAAAAGCTTATTTTCCTAAGTTTTTATGTCCTATTTTGTATTATGCTTTATAATAAATATACTTTTTTTCGTAAACATCAGCTCAATAAAAATCGATTCGTCAGGGTCATTCAGCTGGCTGATGACCTCAAGGTCAATTCATTTACCAGTAAAACCTATGCCGAAGACGTGACCGATGTGGGAATGGGCGGCTAAAAATGTCAAACATTCCGACTGAAAACATCATTAATTCGCAACTAAATTAGACTTAAGCAGTGAGAGATGATACCCCGGGTACCTAAAGGTACAATTTGGACCGCTAGGCATGTTTGTAAGTTGCTAAACGTGGGGCAAACATCAGGCGGCGGACGGCCATGGTGTTCCCCGTCAAGTTTCAGCAGACAAACCATTTCGTGCGTGCATGCAGCAGCATCCTGTTCGACATGTTCGAGAAGTCAACTTGACGTCCATTTGGTTCAGAAGTTCACTCCCCAGCGGAAGGGGCTTACGAATCGTGAACAAGGTCACGCAGGTGCTGTGTACATACATCGAAGACACCACAAACCTTACCCTATACGATGCAGTTTGGCAAGGAACTTGAACATGTTGAACCTGAAAAAAATAACAAATTGTGTTCGATATTTGAGCACCAGTAACCATGGAAATGTCAGACCGCTTTTGTCTCAGAAACAAAGTAGTGATGTTGTCAGTGTGAATGTTAAAACTCGCAAGCAGGGCGGAAACCTTAGCAGAGAACGGACACTCGAGCGTGAGAAACTAGCTGACTTGAAGAGATCGTCTCCAGTCATTGCTGGACCTAGTTTGGCGAGTGGAGATGTCGTCCTTGAACGAGATGGCCACAACACAGAAATTATGGTTGTGAACTCGCTAACAAAACAACTACTGAAAAAGGAGCCTTTGGTTTTACGGAATCAAAATGTGGCAACTTGGTAATCAAACATTTTTTTTTTTTAAATAAATATTTTCCTGAAGCGTGCCTTTTGAAAGGAAAAAGCCCTTAAAAGGCTAGCTGGAGTTACCTCAGCCCTATATTTTATTTTTGATAAAATATAGGGCTGAGGTAATTCTAGCTACCTCAAAGCCAAGCAGGTGACAGTGTTATCAGCATTCAATGTTATTGCTAAAAATGCTTGTGAATGATCTTAAAAATCCATGTATATGTTCCAGTCATTCCGGTGTCAAAAAGAATGCATTATCCCAACACACGAAACATGTTTTTATAATGAAGGACATTCCTCAGAAATATGTTGACGAAAAGTTGAATTTTTACACTGAGAAACGTTGGCAATTTTTGGAGAGAAAAACTCTTGTGGCAGTGTAACTTGGTCTCTGCAATTTGAAGTTTTGTTGTAAAACTCGGATATCTCCAGCATTCTGCAAAGATAAGCATGAGAACTTGGGTTTTCCAAACTGCACTGACCAACACATACAGTCATACAGACATTATTTTAAAGGGGACACGGCTGGTTGACTATGCTGTCTAAGTGTTATTATTAAAAAATATAAAGAAAAAGTTGCCATCCTCTTTCACAATTTCCATTAATTAGAATGTAAACAAACTTGTTATTTGTTGAGCGAAGGTGTTCGTAACACAGCCACCAGCCCTGGATGATATATGATACACATACATCGAGACATTAATTAATAATGGGATTTCCCAGCTGCTATTTCTCACACTGGCATTTCCCAGCCAACATTAAGCATATTTCAGTTTCCTGGAATCGCAACTTGTGCAAAAAAAAGTATAAGGTTTTAGTATTTATGTGCTTCCAATAAAAATAACCTGAGATCCCGCTGCAGAAAACAATACATGTACACGACAGTGGCTGGTTATCTCAATAAATATCCGTTTTGCTTTTCCAGATTTGCTACAGGTTTGCAACCTGTACATCCCATAACAGGAGATTGCTTGCAGTACTGATCCAGATCCAGAACTCTGCCATATTGTGTGCTCATAAAAGTTATGTGTATAACGGAGTCACATAATCAGTAAATGATTTAAAGAATTGCATTGACTTAACTTGTTCAAAAAACCCAAGAAATTACATTGCATTGATTTTGTCTTGTTTGATGTTTTTAGGTATTCCTGTGGTCCGACAGTCTACGATAGTCCTCATCTTGGTCATGGAAGGTAATAAAATTATTCTCTAAAAAAAATTTAAAACAAAAGAGTAGTTGTAGAAGATTTATATTTGTTATTGCTCTTTTGTGTCCAATTTGGAGGTTCCCAAAATTTGACTCAAGAAAAAAGAGTGAAATTATAATAATAAAAAACCTGTAGACAAAATGATGGTATACAGTCAATTTTTAGTTTTTTTAATGCACTTAGAGTACATGTATTTGTGAGGATAAGTGGGTATAGACAAATGTATGGTCAGTGAATGTCTGCTGTAAAGTTGTAATGTCATTTTCAGAAAAAAAAATGACATCTATGTGCTCATATTTACAAGTTTTAATTGATTGGTGCATTAATTAAACCGGTTATTTAACAGAATATTAACTGCCTCTCTTCCAGCTGTTATGTCCGCTTTGACATCCTTCGGCGCATCCTCTCTGAGTTCTATGACATCAATGTGGTTCATGTCCTTGGCATCACAGACATTGACAGTAAGATCATCCAGAGATCTCTTGAAGAAGGCATTGATTTCTACAAGCTGACAAAGAAATATGAGACCGAGTTCTTCCGTGATATGGAGAAGTTACAGGTAAAATCACAAATTTAATTTAGGAATAACAATAAATTACCAGTATTACCAGAATTTTTGTTTTTAAATAATATTATTTTTTGGGTGGCGAAAATATAAAACCCGTATTTTCCTATTTTTGCCATAAGCAAAAATCTTGTATTGTTTTTGTCTTTCCTTTGCAGGTTGAATACCTTTTTTTGCAGAAAATCTCGCACAGTTCAACAAATAAATAAGTAAATAAATTAACAAATAAATAAACCACCCTCCCAAAACACCCTCACAACTTTTGATCTTGAACAACAACTGGTCGGCTCTTACAAAAGGAGAAGACGTTTAGATATTTAATAGCTATATCTTTTTCTCCTTTGAAGGTTTTGCCTGCCACTGTGAACCCACGAGTGACGGATCATATTCCACAGATTATCAACTTTATTCAGAGGATAATAAAGAATGGCTATGCTTACCCAACTGAAAGTGGTAAGACACTTACGAAGTTTGTATTTAGTAAACTAGTCTAGATCTAGAATTGTAGTTTGATTTTCTTATTATCTAAAGCATGAACAATCATGTTTGGACATTGTTTGATCTAATATGTACAATAAGCGTAGCTATTTTATGAAGTGTATTGCATCATCCTTGTATGGTCCTACTTTGCATGTGGAAATCACATTAGTTTGTGTATGCATGGCTATGCACATTAATGTGTTCCAGGGTATGTACATGTACATGTACATTAAAGTGGTGATATCAATTGGAAGGGAGCCAATATTGCAATTCAGTAAACATACATGTACATTTGTACATAGGAATACAAGTCACTAGTTTGTGATTCCTTGTTGATCAGATATTGCCTAAAGAGCTTTGATTTGTGGAAGTCTAATGTTTATGATACCAGAGCATAATCGTTTTATAAAAAAAATTGACACCCTTCCCATTTGTTTGTACATAAAATGGGGAGTGACCTTTGAGTTTTCATTCTTGAAGGTTATTTTAAGTGTTGTGAATGCATCAGCCATAAACGCCATGATTGAAATTGTGTCCTTTTTACATCTGTTTTTCATCAATTTGTACTTTATCTATTGCTTGACAGGCAATGTGTACTTTGACGTGCATGCCTTTGGCACACATCGATACAAGAAACTAGCCACGCACTACATGGAACCAGGGACGCGGGATACCGAGAAGAAGTCGCCCGAGGATTTTGCGTTGTGGAAGGCTGCTAAGCCAGACGAACCCTGGTGGCACTCACCGTGGGGAAGTGGGAAGGGACGACCTGGCTGGCATATAGAGTGCTCTGCTATGTCAAGGTACAATGTGCTGCCATTAAAAGCACATCAATTTGCTTAAATTTAATTGAAATATTTAACTTACCAAGTGCATTTTGCTAGCGAAAAAGTCATGAGTTGTTTATTGTCCGACTGGTTCCAGACACAATTTTCCTTGAGGAGAAAATTGTTAGGCCTTTTTTTCTGCATAAAAATTTCTATGAATTGGGGTGGTTAAGTTTAATTAGACTTTGTGCTTAAGTTTCAAGTCGTTCAAGGAACTGTGTATCCCGAAGCAAGAAACTTTACTGCAACTTTTTTTGTTACACAAAACACCTTGATTCAAAGTCTATAAATTTATCTTTGCTTTCTACTTTAGCGAAATATTTGGAGAGAATCTGGACATCCATACTGGAGGTCGCGACCTTGCCTTCCCCCATCACAACAATGAGATTGCCCAGTGTGAAGGCTGCTTCAATTCAAACTCTTGGGCGAGGTACTTCCTCCATTCAGGTAAATAGGGGTGGGCCAAAATGGAAAACACCCTTTAAGTGAATATCTCCAAACTTATTGTCAGAATAGCTTTTTGCAAAGCTTTTATTTGATAAATGCTGTAAGAAGAATTTTAAAATCCAAAATGGGTCTTTCAGTAAATCCCCCAAAATAGACTGACAAAATTAATGACCAAAACCTTTGGGGAATAATACGGATACAAATTAAATGATGAAATCATTTTGTTAGATCTCCCTTACACATTGCTCATTATTAGAAACTTGTATAATTTGGGTTACAGCATTTGATTTTGAATGATGCTGTTAATGAAATTGTAAGAAATACATTATCTTTTCAGGTCATTTGTTCCGTAAGAGTGACCCTAACAAGATGTCCAAATCTTTGAAGAACTTTGTGACAATTGAAGACTTCTTGCAGTCCTATTCAGCCAACCACTTCAGAGTTCTCTGTCTCATGTCCAAGTATAGTAATGGTGAGTTGTACTTTGTATTCCTTATGACAGAGTTCTACTGTATCTGTTAGATCCAACAAAAGCTAAGAGCTAGAAAAAAATATAACAGATTGCAAATTGTTTGATTGCAGATGGGTTCAGTGGAAATAGCCTGGACATCACCTCATTATGTTCTTGCATTGTATAACATGAGCGAGTGAAATATATTTTGTAATTCCCAGGTTGAGATTTTGATCTTCAGTGCATACATTTTCTATTTTAATTGGAATCACTTTACCAAAACTAATGTTGGATTCAAATGTTACTAATTTTGAATGTATCGAGAATCTCCAGATTCGACAGGGTCAATCTTGACTGTGTGAAAAGTTGCCTTCAAAAGTCTTGTTTGCATTATTTCTAGTTTGTGATTTGAGTGCTTTGAATTGTCCCTAGATATTGAGTATTCTGAAGAAACTGTCCGTCATGCCGTCAAGATATGCAGGCAGCTATCTTCCTTTCTCAATGATGCCGATGCTTATGTTAAAGGTCAACTCATGGCCCGGGAGATCAGCGAGGCCGCCCTCATGCAGAAGTGAGTCAAAATTATGTCTAAAGTTCAACTCAAAATCTTTCTTTCATTTGAAGAGTTTATTTCCCAAATGCGCTCTATCCATTTGAAAAAGTGACAAATTTGCACGGTTATCAAAGTTTAAAGAATAAAAACAACTTAACAGCTGTTTCTAAACTTGTTTGCTTTGTTGCCTTCTGATATTGTGTTTAAGACCTGGGCAGCCAGGGGAGAGCGGAAATCAACTGTTCATTTGATACTACATGTATAAGAAAGTGATTGAAAACTGCACTTTTTATGAAAGTGTTGGAAGGACCTGATTAAGTCAGGGATCACAATAAAACATCACTTTTGGAAAGCTGCCCGCTATTCTGTTCTGTCCGAAATGCTGTTTTACATTTGCGACAGCCTTGGAGTTTCCAGGGGAACATTTTTCTATTTGTCTTTAATCTTCCAAATTCTGAACTAGTTTGGTACCCTGCACAATGTTCCAAAAAGAGAGTATTCCTGAACCAACGGGTATGTTCTAACTGATGTTTTCATATCTTTCTCTTTTGCAACTCTTTCTGTGAAGACTTGCTGATACCCAGACCCAATTCATGAAAGCAGTAGCTGATGATTTTGACACCAAGCGGGGACTGGATGCAATCATGGAGCTGGTCCGAGCAGCAAACATGGCGATAGGTGGTAAACAACATCAGGTAAACAACAGAACATAGATTTTGGTTCTTCCCAAATTAACATGGTTCACCTTTTGTACTCTGTGAACAGAGAAATCTGTCCTGACATGTTAATTCACCATCCACAAACAGGGCTGAAATTCTGAGTTTTGTATTTTAAGATTTTTCTGGGACGGTCAGATATGAGCACTTTGTACTGATCGTGTGCCATTATGAAGCCGAAAACTCATAAAATATTTCTTGTGGTTTCAGCCCGGTTCAGGGGTAATAGTTCACAAATTGAAAAGGTTTGTGTCAATCGTTGGCACAAGCACCATTCAATTTTTATATGAAGAGCACTTAATTTCCCCTCAGATCTTGTCAAAAGGGGGAAAAAAACGAGGCTTAAAGCACTTTTATTTTTTAAGAAGGGTCTTGTGCATTGCTGTTTTGAATGTACATGTATGATGCAAGATTTTACCGGTTTTGTTCTTTCTTTTTCTAGCAACACATGAATGTGCCTAGATGTGCTGGTGCTATTGCTGGAGTTGCATCCTACATCGATCGGATCCTTCAGGCGCTGGGAGTCAAGTTCCAGAGTAGAATGGTGCAAATCTTTAGTTTTTTAAAATCCTTTACAATCCCCAATCCGTTTGGGAGATTTTTTTAAGTAAAAAAAAATTGATGACATCAGTTTACCCATTAGTATCTGCAGTACACTGTTTTAACATTGTATTCATTTCCTGATTTATACAAAATACAATAAGGCATTGCCCATGTGGTTAAAGGCACGGCCGTTCTTTACAATTTTATCTTTCTCTTTTTCTAAAAATGTGTGAACTAGTGCAAAACTAGTGAATTGCATGCAGTGCATAGATTCATAGTCACTCAGTAGACTTCAAGCCTGAGTAAAACAATTGGGCATTTTTCTGCCTGTTCAATTTCCAGGATGTGGCAGCTAGCAGATCAACCAAAGCACTGTCTTCCACCATGGATACCTTGATCAACTTGAGGAGTGAGGTCAGAAAGTGGGCACTGGACACGCCCCTTGAAGATGACCTCAAAGGGTCAGAGGTCACACAATCAGGGACAGGTTAGCACAAGAGAAATCTGCATTTTACTGTGCAAGTTGCCTTTTTTGCAGTGGTGGCCTTTTTGTAAAGTATTTGAATGTTGATTTTGACAAAGAGTGATCGTAAAATAATTTACATTAAAATTTAACTTTTCAACATTGGGCTGGGTAGCTCAGTTGGTAGAGCACCGGTATGGTGATCTATAAGTTGTAAGTTCAAACCCCGCTCCAGTCAATTTCTTTGTCTACCTTGGAACTGTAATATATGAACCCAGTCATTTTATTTTGATTAAAAAAAGTCCGATTTTATAGCCACTTTTCTTTTTGTGATTTCACTCTTCCGATGAGAAGAAATACATTTCTTTGGTTGTTGTTTGTTCCTGTCTGCAGCAGACAAACCTAAACCCAAGAAGCTGATGTACAAGGCTCTTCATCGTCGTGCTGAGCTGCTACAGAAATGTGACAATGTCCGTCAAGATTTGCTCCAAGCTGGAGTCCAGATTAAGGTGAGTGTTACTGTGGCATATCTCAAAGCATGACTTGTGTCCATCTATGACTTCACCTGCAGGCCCAGAACTGTTTCAAGGCTTGTTTTCCCACCTTTGGTTTAAACTGGTATAATTTGATATTCCTGAAAATAAAAAAATCATCCCATACTGAGACAAAATCTCCAAAAATCATTGCGGCAGTTGTATTATGTATTGAGATCTTTGTTTTGTTAACTCTAGTACTTTCCATGAAGAAATTTACTAAAAAAAACTTCTTGCTTTGATGCCGTCACAGGACCGAGGAACCTCTGCAACGTGGGAGTATGTGGAAAAGAAAGCAGGAGACCAGCCTTAAGCAGAGTACCAGGATGCCATCAGAACTTGACATCTGTCTTCAGTGATTGTTACAGGACAAGGTATATGCAGACGTTAGGGGCAACTGACTCTGAATATTGTTGGCACAAAGCCTAATCCTCCCATGTCTTTTATAATCCATAACGAGGATTTGGAGGACTGTGCAGGTTTGGAGAAGGTGGAGGCAAGCCACTTTCACTTTACATGAGGCTTGATTTGATGCCCTTTAAAAGTGCTAATGAATTTGGAAGTTCGAGGTTTGAGAAGGTTTGTAGCAAAAATAATTAACAACAGCTAATCATTGCTCCTGATTTATTGCCATGTTGGCATGATAGGACTCTGTGCACAAGTATTGCCTTTATGGTCACAAAGCGTGACCGTTGGGAGGGAACTGAATTGCATTGCTGAAGGCGCCTGATGCTCACGCGAAGACCCCATGGGTTTGTGTAAATGCAGAATAAAATCAGCTGTGCATACTTAACCACTATAGGCACAGGATCTGGTAATGTGTCTCCCCCACAAGTATTTAAAAGTTTCAAAAGTGCTATTTACTGTCCAGGCACCGAGACCGTAGCTGGTGATCCATGATTGCAATTGATATTTTCCAGACACCAGACTTGTGATATATTTTCGGACAAAACATGTTGTGGGGACAGGCGTATGTCTCATTGGCACATTAACAATACCCACCTAAACTAAATTTGGATGCCTGAAATTTCAGTCCGTAGGAATTGTATATTTATCGTGCTCTTTATTCTTATTATTCATTTCGGGATGTTTGAGAATTGTTTTTAAAAATGAGTAAAGACAACCTTAAAACTGGTTTCTTGTATTGCTGTACATAGTTCCTTCTATGGGAGAAAATATGATAATGGTTTATAAAAAAAAGATTTTTTTTCCGAGTCAGAAGCAGCAAAAGGAAATTGTGTTTGAAATGTAATTTTGAAGCCTTCCACCTTAGAGGTTTGGTCGTTCAAATCCTGCATTAGACATTCATCAGGTTTTGGCCCTTCATTGCAAAGACGTCCTGTTTGTCCAAGGGAGGTACAAGTTGTGTTTGTCCTAGTGATGAGTTACGAATAATACCCACTTCAAAGAGCTGATAATCATTAGATTTCCTCAAAGGACGGTAATTGGTGGACAATGTTCACGGTATCAAATTATCCTTGTATATTGACAATGTTAATAAAGTGTAGTAATTTTCTTATGATTAAATCAATTTTAAAGGTTGAATCTTGCCCTCGGCCAGGTTTCTATTTGACTTGTGAATTAGACATTAACAATACATCCATGTAGATTACACGCCAGTATTTTCATAGTATCTCAAAAATTAGAGATATGCAGGACAGCCCGTTCTTGGAACAACAAAACACTGTAAATATTGCGGGTTTTGATTCGCGACGTTCTTATTTCACGATGCTGTATTCTTTTTTTAACGAATACTCTACATGTGTGCAGTGCAAACCATTCTGATTTATACTTCATCAGATTTGATGTCACGTTACAAACATTGTCTGCTAAGACTTAAAAGAAACATACTATTACTGACCATTTCACAAACCTGGGTTCATCAGCAGTTTCGGCTTGACATTGAACCTCCTGACTCAATAGGGATCGGTTTCCTACCTCAAGAGCATGCCGAAGTCTAGAATCGTTCTGAACATTACCATACAGACTGACAAATCAATGGACAAAGATTTTATTTCAGTAATGGTCATAGCTTTAAAGATCCCAGCCAACTTTTTATTTAAACAAAAATACAATGTCGACACAGTTTACAAGAAAACAACTGTACAGTTGAAATAAAGTATCCAACGAACTAGAACACCTGACACCGGGTTATTTTGTAGTTCTTTGTGTTAATATGAGGAGGTTTTTTTTTGGCATTTTTAAAAATCGGTTATGAGGCAAAAAAAAAAATAAGTCGGTCTCTGGTCAGCGCGCGCGTCGATTTTAATCATGCGCGTCGATCTTTTTTTTTTCCAAAGCTCCAACAGCGCCCTCTATTTCCGCACCTCATTTTTTTTTTTACCAAAGAGCACCAAGGAATGGGAAATTGCACCAAGGCAAATGATCGAAAGCACCAAGGCAAATTATGGAGGACACCAATGTACATGAGGACACTAAAAAAGCAAAATAGTACCCACCTTGTCTGTACAATCCAAGCTTGAAAAAAAAAAAAAAGCCAAAAAAAAAAAAAGGCCGCGTGAACGCGTCAATTCCGGAACTTTGGTCTGACCAGAGACCGAGTATTTTTTTTTGGCCTTACCCCTGGGAAAATTGAAACATTTGAAACATCGGTCGAGTCACAGGGATATGATTTAGGATTTTTATGGGTGGCTTGAGTTTACTATATCCCAGTAGCAACACTCCCACCCCACCGGTCCACCTCCATGATCCCCCATCTCCAAAACAGAAAGCTTAGATTACCGCAGGAGCTAACAGCAATTTACTACTGAACATGTAAAATACGAAGGGGAATACCCACGTACTAAAAGTCCGATGACCTTCTGTGCACTCGAAGGACGCCTTTCGCACTATATTCATCCTCCATTATATAACAGATCTATTCCAAGTGGATTATTCTGATTTTACCATGAAGAGAGTACAGCCGCGATATGAATGTAACTTCCATTATTCCTTTCACAATGTTGAATTGTACATAATGTTAGGATAGCTTTCCAGAAGGAATTTTCTTTTCATGCGGAGTGATATGTTCACAGTGATTGTCGGTGATGTGTTAATAGCTTTATCTTTACGCCAAATTAATATTGTGGGATTTTATTATCGACAACTACAAGCAGATTTAACTCCATTTCAGGTATTTTGGGGGTGATTCTAATGAAGGATATAATTAAAGCAACTGCTGATTGGGAAGACTACCAGCCTGCCAGGATATGCGGTGAGTCTCTTTAGTTTTCAAAATTATGTTTTAAGGCTAATTGTTGTGTGTGATAGCCTTTAGTCAAGTCCCACGCGCCTACCCGCACACGTGACGCACCCCGGATGCTGGCACGTAAAGAGACTAGCACGAGCGGCAAAGCCGTCGTCTGGCGCCAGACAGCACGCGCGCCATTTAAAGGATTCATTGTTCACTTCAAAGTAAAATTGGAAAATCACGCTAAAATTGTCTCTGTAAAGCGTAGGTATGTACAAACAGGAATGTTTAGAGCTTGAATAAAATTTTCATTATACTGCGAAATTTTTTGGAACATTTTTTTGCTCTAAAGTAGTAAGGCACTAAAGGCGAAAAAATATCAAATTGCACCACGTTTAGGGGCCGTTAGAAGACATTACATGCATTTAGGACTTGGGGACATCAACAAACGATAGTCTAATTCTAATTGTATTTTATTCATCTTTAATTCGTCTGGACAACGTAGGCTAATTAGTTGTTGTTCACCCTTTTCAAGCTGCAAATTAATTTGCAGTTTATTTCAGTTTATTCTTTCGATAGATTTATAGAATATGAATCTCTGCACCGAATTTGGCAAATTTAAGGTGCCGGTGTGTGAGCGAAATCATCAAAACAACCAAAAGTGTACATTGTTACCACTTCATCAGTTAACAGTTGTATGAGGGCGCCCTTTCTCTTCAATTATTCCTGTGCTGTGCTTTTATGCGAACGACGTTGTCATAATTATGAAAATCTGACTCCTATGAAAATCGGACCCATTTTCCCTATTATTGATTAATCCCTCGCACGTGACAGGTCACTCTCCCGTATGTGATCCTAAAAATAGCATATTCTCGTACTTAACGCATGCGCAGTACTACCAATGAGTCAACATTTCACGGAGTCGGATATATACGTTATACCGGCAATAAATGAAATCTAATACAGCCATACGCCAAAGAACCTTGTAACAAATTGCAAGAGGCAACATTGCCATGTTGTAAAACCTTCCACCCCCCCTTATTTTTGAGTAAAACCTGCCAAGGAAAACACCAGAGACGTTTCTAGAGAAGACACCTACGGTACAATAATATCATGGACAAATTTTGACTTCAAAATAGCTCAGTTAAGTTTTATTTCCATTTTGTTGAATCCTGCTTTTTACTAACTACTAACTGTGTTATTTGATAGCCTCATTTATGCCATTATTTATCTTATTGTATTTGTAATGTTGCCTTTAGCAAGTACTATCCTCTCATTTATAATTTCGTTATACAAGCACTGATTACAAAGAGTTGTCATATCATCATCAATTTCCACTTTACGAGGTATGCTTTACAACCCATATAACACCATAACACTTATACAAACCGAAACCACTGTTGAATATTTCAGCAGGCGACATAAACAAAATGCATCCTTTGCTGCTCTTTCTTTCAGTATAAACTGAAAGAAATTATATGATTATGTTACAGTAACACATACTGTTAAAACGTTGGGGGAAAAAATAAGAAAAAGTTAAAAATCATAAACCTTCAGCCGTACAGTTATTCCAGTGAATTCATATCAATAAAACAAATCTAGATTTATGGCACATGTGAACTTTTTACTCCTTCATATTAATTGTTCTTAATCTTCGACCTTTAAATAGTCAAATAATATCATAATCGACTCCTGGTTGTTTGCAGATGTTTCCAGTTTAGCCACAGGAATCATTCAAAGTTCAAATCTCAACAGTTCAGTGTTTCAAATGTAAAGGCATGGCCAGTGTGTTTTGTTGATTATCGAAATGATGATGAACGTTTTTAAACAAATCTCTGCGTGTAGAAGGAAAACACTTTATAAGCCTTTCATACCAAAAATTAAACATTGTATTTCAGTATTTACCATTAGGCTACGTCTACAGTTGATGCGTTCTTTTTGAAACAACTCTATGGCATGATATTTCATTGTCTTTGCTTCCCATAAACTATATTTCTTTCTCACATGCAAGATATATTTACATGTACATGACATACGTACATGTATATTATTTGTTACTAACATCAATCATCGTCAACGTTCGCTTAAGTTTTACGGCTTTAGTTTCATTAATTTCTTAGCATCAATTTGTAATTGAAACCAAAATTACAATAAAAACTTTCTTTCTGCATGTTCTTTATGCGGTATACAAGGTAATCATGAGAATATATTGCTCTACTACAACAGTACATGAAAAAAGCTAAAACAATCCTTAAAACTAGAAACATCGTATACGTGTATGCTTAATGACTCCCAAACATGACAACCGATCTTAACTAAATGCAAATAAATGATATACAGATTAATCAGATGCAAGACACTTCCCTAGATTTACGAGGCAATTTCTTGGAGGTTTACTCCAATTAATGCATATAATAAAGTCGAACTACGTAATAGCAAATTACCAAACACATATTCCTTCCATTTTTTCCCAACAAACAACTGAACTACGATCTGTACATTATTTCCAAAAATAGTTATAGGTTTTATGTGTTATTGATTGCCTCATATATGCCATTATTTATCTTATTTTATTTGTAATGTCACCTTTAGCAAGTACTTTCCTCTCATTAATAATTTCGTAACAAGTATTGATTACAAAGAGTTGTCATATCTTCATCAATTTCCACTTTACGAGGTACATGTATGCTTTACAACAATACAAGAGTACACAAACTTCATCCCATATAACACCATAACACTTATACAAACCGAAACCACTGTTGAATATTTCAGCAGGTGATAAACAAAATGCATCCTTTGCTGCTCTTTCTTCAGTGTAAACTGAAAGAAATGTAGGCCTACATGTATATGATTATGTTACTACAGTTACATACTGTTAAAATGTTGGGTTAAAAAATTAAGAAAAAGTTAAAAATCATAAACCTTCAGCCGTGCAGTTACTCCAGTGAATGCATATCAATCAAACAAATCTAGATTTATGGCACGTGTGAACATAATATTCCTTCACATTAATTGTTCTTATTCTTCGACCTTTAAATATCCAAATAATATCGTAATCGACTTTGCAGATGCTGCCACAGGAAAAATTCAAAGTTCAAATCTCAACAGTTAAGTGTTTCACATGTAAAAATGAACAGTGTGTTTTGATGATTATCGAGATAAACGTTTTTAACCAAATCTCTGCGTGTGGAAGAAAAACACTTTATACGCCTTTCAAACCACACATTAACATTGTTCATGTTTATAACCTGTATTCCAGTATTTCCCATTACGTCTACAGTTTATTTATTTTTTTAAACAACTGTATCGTATGATATTTCCTTGCCATATATTTCTTTCTCTCAAGATATATATTTCTTTACTAACATCAATCATCAACGTTTGCTTAATTTGTACGGTTTTAGTTTGATTAATTTCTAAGCATTTCCAATACAAAACTTTTCTCTGCACAGCTTGTGCGCGATATACAAAGTATTATTATGAACATTTATGGCTCTACTGCAACAGTTCATAAAAAGCTAAAAGCAATTCACAAAACTAGAAACATCGTATAGTCATGTATGCTTAATGATTTTTAAACATGACTGATCAGTCTTAATTGATATCCAAATTAAACAGATGTAAGACAATTCCCTAGATTTACGAGGCAATTTCTTCATGGGTATACTCCCATTGATGCATATAATAAAATCGAACTACGTAAGAGCAAAATTACTACCAAACACGTTTTCTTTCCATTTCCCCCCAACAAACAACTGAACTACGATCTGTAAATACATTATTTCCAAACATGTATAAAGTGTGTGCCCGAGTATAAAACATGAATTTCTCAAGATCCTTTTAAAATGATTCAAAACTACGTAACTGTCATATTTCGACAAGCAAAAAAGTTGACCATTATGCTTATGTACATTTTATCACATGAATGTTTGGTACCGCCACAATTTTAAACACGAAAGTTTATAACACTCGACAAAATCTCAACCTAAGATACTGAAAACAAACTCTTCTCTAGAGTATCTCAATTAAGCTCGATACTTTTATTCAAACCAAAATCCGCTGCTGTTATCTACTCAAAACAATGATCAGCAAACTAAATATTGGCTTCCCTTTGAAATTATTATTGTATCAAATTCACGATTTGTTCTTTCAAGGAGGGCGCGGAATCAATTCACACAACAAATTTTGAAGTTCTGTACTTGCGTCAAGCATATGTATGACATGCAGACACTCGTACAAGTATTTGATGGCCATATTAAGCATAGGATATGTTTCCCTTCTTTTACATATACTACTTTTAACACTTTTATAACACGTGGACCTTTCACGCTCTAAAAATTACAAAGCAAATAATTATAAATCCTTACGCTTGATTGTTTTTTTGACAATTTCTTATAGCATTTCTTTAATCCTGCCTCTTGTCCATGTAACTTTAAAAAACCTACTGTCTACAGTTAACAAGCTGGAGCCTCTCTTTGAACATATCATCTACTATTTCGCTACGAACAGGCACAAGACAGACTCAGGCATAGTAATCTTCGAAAAGGTTTCGACAGTGTCAACATTTATTTCAAAGTAGCATCCGCTTATCTCAGTGCGTATAATGTACAGATGTAAATAAGAAATTATTTTCATACGACATACTAAAAATTAAGAGAACAAAATACGCACTAATTAACAGTCAGGCCCTCCCAGCGACATGTTCATTTATTTTCATAAGGAAATAAAGCTTCTTGCTTCAGCTTCGTATCATATTGTCTAAAACAACCTGATACCGATTATGTCTTGGACAAGGTTCAGTAGTTCTCCACACTTCCTCAAAACGTCCACTGTGCTGAAATCACTGTATTCCTGTCCACTTGTCTTTGAGTTCCTCTGTGGGTAGCGAGGTTTACTGAAGTCGCAATTCAGATGAACTAGTTCAAGTGTTACTTCAAATACTCGGTCAGAAGTTACGTCTCTGTGTCGGCAAACTGTTCTTGCCAGAGATATTACATCATTACACTTGATGTCTGGACGTCCGTCCAGACTGTACTGAGCTGCTTTAAGCGCAGTTTCTGCAGCCTGGTGTACCTGGAAGGCTATCCACTGAGCTGGGACTGGCTCGAGTTGCCACGTCTGCTCGGCAACCTTAAGGTGTTCCTTGGCCTGACGGAACCATAGCCGTGCTTGTCGTGGATCTGGGGTCTCTCTGGTAAAGGACGGCGGCACAAAGTTACCTTCTGATGTGTTTGATCTGGCGCTGGACTGATTTTGATAATAACTCTCTTGATATCTTCTGGCTTCTTCCCTGTCCCTATCGACCTCCGACTCCCAGTTCGAATACTGATCAGAGCACCGCTGGTCATGCCCCTCAATTTCCTGTTTGAGGAATTGGAATGCCTTATTGGCACGGTCCTGCTGGCCTGGATTCTTATCGGGATGCCACTTGCGATACAGACGGTACAAAACTCTCTTGCGTTCCTCCGGCGGCATTTCAAATACTTCGTCAACCTCTTTCCTAATCTGCTCTTCGTCGTTCTGCATGTCTTCTGGAAGAGCTTGTTCAAAAGGCGCTGCAGTTGGAACATCAGATGTAGGTTCCCCGGTAAAAGGAACGACTGTCATGTCTGGTTGTTTCTTTGGTCGCAGGAATTTATAAAGTCTGTTCACTTTAACAATGATGGGATCCTTTCCTCCAACGTCAATTTTGTATCGTCTCGATAAGTTGACTGTCTTATCACTCTTGTCAATCTGCTCAAGGATTTTTGCATAGATTTTCTCAGTAGCACCGTCCGCCGGTGTTTCTGATGGTAACCAATCACCAATTCCCAAAGCAAGGTTGTCACTGTCATCATACGGCAACTGGTCTGCTTCGTCAATGTCTCTTTCATAACCTACTATCTCATCTACTAGGAAACGGTTGTAGGGATCTTGATCAAGGAGGTGATGAATATCTCTTGGTATTAGAGTTCCTGGTCTGTGCTCGTCCGGTTGGATAGCTCTTGTTGTGATATCATACTCAGGGATGTCAGACTGGGAAAGAATTGGACTCATCTCGTCCAGACTCTGACAGTCCAACACACTTGTGTAGATACCTAAATGACAAAAATCCAACAGATGTTCTAGGAGTGCATTGCAACTGTTTGCGATTTGTCTGGAAGTGAGACCCTTTTGTTGAGATGGTGAAGAGTGCTCTAGGTATATTGTATTTGTCGATTTGTCGAAGTACGCTTTCCGAGAGTACTTCTGCTCTGCAATCTTTTGTCCATTCTTGTCGTATAAGCCAAGTTTCAATTCTGCTTTGCAGACAAACTTGTCAAATTCCTGGAGTTGTGTTATGCGCTCTTTGATGTCAGCACTCAGTTGTTTGTTTTCGAGCTGGTGTTGTTTAAGTCTCAACAACACAAGAGTCATTTCCTCTGAATTCACCTTACGCTTGATGCCTTCCAGATACTCACAATGCTGTCCAGCGGGGCAGTCTTTATTGGTGTCTAACGGCTTCTCATTCATCTCATCCCCAATATTTTTAGGTCGGAGAGCCTTTGGAAGAAGTTGAATGAGACGTACTTCGTCCTTGACCACAAATCCGCACTGCTTTAAGGGAAAGATGAATTCTTTGTCTGTGGATGCAAGGTTGAAATGCCCCATTTGAATATGGTCAGCATAATACAAATTAGTTGACCTCCTCAAGAAGTACGCTGAATTAGGTAAATACAGCTCGGATACAGAAAACGTGGATTGACCGCCCGCATTGTGCAACAGAAGGAGCATTTCTCTAACAGCACCCTCGGCTGTCTTCTGTTCGTTTGGGCCTAGACGTTCATCACCACATTCCCCTTTCATTGACGCCAACACTCCTGCCAGCTGGTCCAAGGAGCATGACTCCTGGGCTCCAAGCAGACTAAGGATAGTATCAAACTCTGCCAATTCTCGTGGTGCTTTGTACAAGTACGGGCGCAAATAAGGTTCAAGATCTTTGTCTATTTGAAACACCAACTGATCCGCTCTCACCAATACACGTCCTTCTTCCACAAGACATACTGGAGTGCACTTCAACCGACGTTTAATGTCCTCACCATGCTTAGCCATGTTTAGATCTTTCAAGTAGCCCAATATCTCGCCCATGACGTCTTTAAACGTCTCTCTCTGTTCTGTTGGCAGCATGTCTTCCTTGTGTATTGCATTCTTTTTCTCCATCAGCCCACAAATGTTTTGCGTGTGCGAAACAACGTTATCAGCAACCACATTTTCAATTCCAAGGCAACCATGAACAGTAACATCCTTATTAATTTTCTGGTTTGTCGGTATGGCCCAATACGGTAGTATCACACAAACTGACCATACAAGCTCCAAATATTTCTCCGACACTGATCCTTGATATGCAATGAATGCGGGCGTTTGGTTGTTGTGACTGCCCGTCAAAGAACATGCAGGGTGGATGTGAAGCAGGTTTGTCTTGATTGGGACAGACTGAACGAACTTAATCGTTGCGATTTTCTTCAGGAAGTTTGGGTCGAGGAGCTCTTCGTTTAAGTTCAGTTGATTTGTCAGAAGACGAGAGATGCGACATAATGCCTCTCTTTTTTTCTTGTCTTTGACTGTACCAGACTTTTTTTCCACGTCCTGTGCAAACTGAAGGAAGTCGGCTTGAGTTACTGTTGAATGGAAACCAATTTTCACGAGGAAATACTTCAGGTTTCCCATGGATTCAGGCAGTAACTTTATTGGGTCAATCAACGCTTTGAAGACAGGATTTTCACCGTCGTAAAAAAAGCTTGCTTGTCGAAGTATGCCAGTTGAGTCTCGAATGAAGGCAATGTAGGAAAGACGCTCAAGAATTTCTTTTTCCTCCTGTTCTGAAGCTTCGAGTAGCACATGGTCTCTGATGAATTTGACGTGCTGCAATTGACCCTCTGGACTGAGCAACAGAAAGCTTGGAAGTAGGTACTTCAAGTACATATCGACTTTGGTAATCGGAGTTATTCCAAGCTGTTGATAGATGAGATTCAAGCTACGATTGGGCTCCAGAATAACACAGTGCATGTTGTCCATCCAGGTCTTGGCTTCAACCATCAACATTCCGTAGCCTTCTTCAGTGTGGTAGTGATCGAAGCGGTGAAGATCGGTGGTGTTTTTTTCCTTTAGAAGTTGGAAAACTGAGAGCTTTTTGATAGTCTTCATACTGTCCTCCGACAGATTCTCGTCCTCTTGGAAATAATGAAGTAGAGTATCGCACTCAGAGAGTATCAGGTGACCAATGCCTCCACCTGTGTTTTGCACGAATGCGATCACATCTATCACATCTTGTATTGAGGTTGGCAGGGCTAAGTGTTTTTCAAGTAGTTTGCCAAGTCCTGGTTGTGCATGGCGTACTTGAACTCGTGTACCCCTGGGGAAGGTTGTTCTGAGCTCACACATAAGGGTCCGCGAAATAAGAGGGAGACCAAGTTTGAGCAGCACCTTGGCTATTTTCATCCCTAACCCTTCTTCGCTTTGCAGGAGTAATACGGTCTTGGATAATATAGGGGGCACCAGTTTACCTGACTGAGTGGGGAATATTGGCCAGTGGTTGATACAATCCAGGGACCGCTCCTCCAATGTCTCACTGCAGATGAATGTCCATAGGTGTCCAAGCCACAACTCAGAGGGATGGCCATTTATGTCTGGTGTCCAGTCTACGTGCTGATTGCAACCGTGCCAGCTCTCGGGAAGATGCTTCCAAAGGTGTTGGGCAAGCTCAGTGATGGTAAACTGCTTAAACATACCACTTCCATAAGCTGTTTCGGAATTCTTTTTCTTCTTGAACCAAGCAATGCAAGATGAAACAAGCCCGCTGTGAAGGAATATACTCTCCAGACAAGGTAGCACTCTGGAGTGGTCTGTCACATATGAACCATCACTTGTTGAAAACTCACGCAGCATGCCATCATTGGTAAGACGGATGGGTAAGCCATTCAGTTCAGCTGGATTTTCGATACCTTCAAGGCAGTAATCGAACACCGTACGTACAGTCCGGATGTTCTTGAATTTGGTTTTGTTCAAAGGAGCGGGGAAGGCCTGTGCCACCTGGTGAGATCCAGATGAAAGATGCTGAACTACTGATTTTGGATCAACAAACTTTGCTCCAACATCACAAGCCTGAAACGCCAAACATACCTCCTGGGAGCTGGCCAGCAGGTTAAAGTTGACCCTCAGCAAAAAGGAGCGTATTAACTCCCGTGCTGCATCATCTCTCACTAAGCTCTCACCTGCTTCAGGCGATGCCGGATCAAAGTTATCAGTGAAAGCAAGACTGTCATCACTGTTTGGATGATGCCAGGTGGTTGTGATAGCTTTGGTTTGACGAACAACAGGTAAAACCTTCAAGTTTTCCCTACCGATGTACCGGAACGTAGCTTTTGCTAGGAGTTCCCACTCTGCTCCTTGATAGCTCTTCAAATGCCTTGGGAAAAGGTCATCATACCGCCCAAGGTGCTGTTTCAAGGACTTGACATCAGCTTCTCCAAATATTATTCGTCCCACATGCTCAATTAATTTAGCATAGGCTGGGGCAAGTACATGTTCCAGTAGGATTCGGTTCCATCTATGGATGAGTCCACTCTCCTCAGACATATCATCAGATATCGCATAATCGTCACCTTTGGCAAGATTCTTTCTTGCCGAATCCAACTCAAACGTCCCATTCACATGCACTGGTAATCCAGTGTGAACTGGCAGTGGAAGAAAGCAGTAAGCTTTGCGCGGCTGTTTGTGCAGCTGAATTGCTGCCATGTCCGCTCTGCTATCCTTGAGGAGAGCCGCTACTCCACCACGTGGAAGAGACCTTTTTAAGGTAAAAGCTCTTGACACCGACTGACATTCAAGGGGGGAACCTTCAAACCCCAGCATCTGAGAAATGAGCCATGTTTGTTCAGTGCCTAGTGAGTCACTTGTCACGAGGGTGTACACGTGGGACATGGGCTCAACTGTCTCGCAGGGGTTATATGTGAAAAGCTTGAGGTGCTCTGCCAGCTTTGAACGTCGTTCTTCGTCTTGTTCTGAAAGCTTTGCACTGATGCTGTACTCTGTTGTCAGTTTGTTGGTGTGTTTATCAATACACGAAACACTGATCGATTTGATGTTGTTAAGAAAAAGAAGAGCTTCCTGGGACACTTTTTTGAAGTCACCAAGTAATTCCTCTACTCTCGTTGGTGAGTAAGTCTCTCCGGAAAGCCCTGACGGCTCTTTTCTGAGTGGGAATCGAAAAACTGTTCCGCCCTTTCCATTAAAGTCAGGTATGTCTTCCAGATATCCTTTCAACATGTCAGGGAATTTTCCCCGGAATTCCTTGTCTGTATTAAATTGTTTCCCAGGTGAAGTATTCCGTGTCACTGGAGAGAACATCAAAAGCGGATCAAACACACAAAGGGTGTCACTGTTGCTAAGGAAACTCGGGTAATCAGTCAGGTGGTAAACTGCATTGAAACCGATTCCAAATTTCCCAGTTGTTGTTGTGTCGTCTCTCTTTCCTCCAACTCCTACTTTTTGAATGCCTTTGATGTCTGCCTCAGTGAATGGCTTGTCATTATACACACAGAGCGATGGAAGTTTTCCTACGGCAGCCCAGGAATCACATACGACTTTCTTTGCTTCGTGATGGCGTGGATCATAAACAAAATGTATCTCTGTTGATCCTGCATCATCGGCATTTTGAAGAAGCTCTTTGAATACATCAGAGACGTTTGGATACGACCTCAGTATGTTTTTTAGACGATCCGTTAGTTCCTCACTCTGGCCAAAATCTATTGCAAATCCCCGCAACGGCTTGCAACTATCAATGCACTTCTCTCTCTGTGTAATGATACCCAACGCCTTAGCATCACGATATGAAATAGCTGGATGTGTGTACTTTTCTTCATCACGACTTCCCTCCCATTCCATATCGTTATATGTCAGCTCTTTTGGTGACCGCAAGACCCCACAGTTATCTGGGACAGAGATTAAGTCTATGTGTAAGCTACTTTCCTGGCTACCTTCAGCGTGTTCTCCTTGCTTTCCTGCCAACATTGAGACAACTTCTGACAACATCGACGTTGCAGTTTTCAGATCTGATTTATTTAGAGGTTTTTCGCCATTGGTGTCCTTCAGAAGCTTGATAGCGTGAAGGAAGTCCTCCAGCTGAAAACGATCTCTTACACCGCAAATCCGTAATAGGTTGCTGAACTGTATGAGCTCATGGGACACTTCGTACAGGTATGGTCCTTTTTTGCCTTCGTAGAGAAAAGCAAGTTGCCCACACTCTCTGAATTGACCATCACAGAAGACAAATCTCTTTGAACAAAGCTGGTCAACAGCAGCACGGTGCTCTTCTTTGATAGTAACATCACCATTTGGAGACACTGCACAGAGTGTGTCCTGGAGATATGCATATATGCTGCGAACCATGGCAGATGTTTGATGGGCCATGGGTGCTCGATCAATTAGAATAACAAGCTGTGCAATGACATCACCGACTGCAACTTGTTTGCCCGTGAAACCAAGAAAGGTTTTGACCTTGTTACTCATTGCCTCAGACCCTAACCTCCTCTCGTCCAAGAGTGGTCGAACTGAACCAAGAAGGTTCTTGTGTTCTGGTGTATGAAGCAAGTCTGCTGGCATAAACTCATCTTCAGAGTGACACCAATCCAAAGGATAGCCTGGAGGCTTCTTCTGTACCGGAAGGAAAGTTGCTTGTCGGATTTGTTTCTTTTGATCGGGTGTTGGCTCGTCAGACCTTCTGAGTTTTTCATCTATCAGCTTGAGCAGAGTTACGCACCTCTGGTCAACATTATCACCCTCTGACAAGGATTGTGCTCTCTCGCAGATATCTTCCCAAGATAAGTCATTTGAAGCCATCCCTAGCTGGGATAAAGACAGAAGACGTTCCTGTTTACGATACAGCTCTCCATGTGGAAACCGACAGTCAGTTTTGCTATACAGTGTACCAACTGGTGATTCGGGATTCACCAAATCCTGAGGTCTTGCCAAGTCTTCACCTTCTGGGGAAGTCGGTATACACTCTGTAGCCTTTAGTAATTTATCATAATCTTCCAGTTTTCTTTCTCCAAGACGAAGGTCCAGCGTGTAAAGAACAATCCTGTTTCTGTGGTTAGACTCGATGTCTTGAGGGTTATTCTCCAACATCGGAAAGAATACCTCAGACAAGAAACGCTGGATGTTGAATGTGTTGCAATTGAAAGCCTTTTGAGCGCCTGCTTGCTTGATGCTCTCAACTACATCTCTTTCAAGTTCCACACATCGTTTCGGGTCCTGATGCTTGTTAAGCACGGTTTTAATGCTTCCTCTCAGTTCTTCGGGATCTGTCAGACCCCAGTCAGTGAAGAAGCATTGATGCACTGATACCCACTTACTTTGGTTAAAGAATACTTCTGGGGCATCGACACTGCTTCCTATGTTCTTGTAGTAGGCATTAACGAAAGGATGAAAGTCACTTTCAGACTCACTCCATCTGGGCCACAGACACTGGAAGTTGCGAGCATCAACATCACCTTGTTCTTGCAACATTTGAAGATCTTTCAGTAGATTCATAAAAGCACGCAACAGGACTGATTCCATGAAGCAGATATTCCAACGGGTCTCAAATTCTCCCGTGTCAGATGAGGGTTTGCTCCACAGCTGGCGGCGGTTAGGTTGAAGAAGGAAGTTGCCATTGACATGAAAGCGTAACCCTGTGGAGACATCAAGAGGGAGATAGCTAAAGGCCTTGCCTGGTGTGGTTCCAGGGGTCAACCCTCTTTCACCAGATACTAGTTGCGCAGCAACCCCACCACATGGCATAACTCCAGATTTGATACCCTCCTTGGTGAGGGCGAGATCTAGAGGTTTTCCTGTTGACATACAGGAGCTGATGATGAAGTGAGATGTTTTTTTCTTTGGTTTCTTTTTGGCAGCTACGCCTATGCACGTTTCCTGATCTATCTTCACAATCATAGTCGACTCTGGAACTGGCGAACCATGGCCTGGGACTTTCAGACGTTTTGCTGTTGCTTTCAGGACACCACGTTGATTTTTGAAGTCATCAGATGGACCTGTAATTGACCGTGGCAGCTGTCTGACTTGTGAAACCGTGACAGACATTACTGGTGTCATGTTCCTGATATTTTCAGACTCAAGCTGTTCCACAGTAACTTTAACCACGTTCTGGGTAAAGAGAAGCAGAGTAGACGCCGATTTCTGCAAAGCCTGTGACAGTGGCTCAGTACTCTTCTTGGAATCAAAGACAGAATCTGAAATTTGATTTGGCTGTTGGCCATCAGCTTCCGCTTTCGTCCGCAGTGGTAACCTGAAAAGTGTGTGCCCGAAGTGTGCAGCCTCTGGCAGCTTACAACCAAAGATGCCATTGTATGGTTGGAACTGGTTCGGGTAACTCTCAAGCGTCCGTCTGTGGTTGTCATTTGTCAGATCAAGTTTGATACCTGGCTGAGCTGGCTTGACACGGGATCCAAGATGGGTTGTTCTGGGATCACAAATTAGCACATACGGTCCGCTGACAACACTTGGAACATCTGTCAAGTGATAAACTGATGTGAATCCCAATCCGAACCTCCCAACTTTGTCCAGCTGATCTTTCTTGCTCTGGGCCGCTATATTACAGATATTTGTAATATCATCTTTTGAGAAAACGCCATCATTGTAAGCCCAGAGAGCAGGTCCATGACACGTTTTCATTCCTTCACCCAGAAGGTTGTGGGCTGTGTGCTTGTTGTCTCGCCAGTCTAGAAGGAATTTGACTTCAGTAGCTCCAGCATCGTCAGCATTTTGAATCAACTCGTTAAAGATGCCAGGCCCTTCCTTGTACATATCTAGATTTCTCTTGATTGCATTCACTGTCGTCTCGTGTGGACCAGAAATCTCGTATCCATATTCTACTCCTTCAGCAGGTGCAATCACGTGACTCAGTGGTTGTAATTCCAATTTCTGCGCAATCCAGTTGGAAATTTTCTCATGAATTATTGGCCTGTCGAAGGTTTGGGAACCTTTGAATATCTGCCTAGCAAGTCTCTCCTCATCAACATACAGGCATTGAGATGAACATGCCATATTTAGCTTTCTTTCTCGTCCTCTCTGCATTCTACATGGAACAAGTATCCCCGACATCTTGTTGTCAAATGTTTCTTGGCGGACCATGTGTCCTAGGATGTTGCAGACAAGATCTAAATCTGTCTCGTAATCCTCTTGACCTGAAACCGAATTAGCTTCATGCTTTTGACTGACAATTCGCAGCACTTCGCAAAGAGCGCTGTCTTGGAAGGTCTCCTGGACACCCATGCTGTTCAGGAAACTGCCGTACTGGAGATAATCCTGAGGCACAAGGCGTAGATAAGGGGTCAAAGTAACACCAAGTGTGCCGTTGCTTAGGGCCATCTTGTCTGGAGTGGCGAAACCAAAGCCATGCCACACCCATGGTTGTGGAGCACTCATGTGCTCATGAAAAAGGTGTCTCAATTGTACATTCTCTGCTCTTGTGAAGAAGGAATATATCTCGGACACTGTGTGAGAAACAATATGCACATTATCATGAACATTCTGGTAGTTGTTTGCAACATTCTTCAGATGACGCACTACCCGTTCGACGTGTTGGTAGTTGCTCGGATCAAGACGCTTTGTCCATCCAAAGGCATTCAGTAGTTCATCTTTGACGTCATGTGACCTAACAAGAGGGAGCACAGAGCCTTGAAGCAGAGCAGAATCAATGATCCCTACTTGTCTGGGTGAGTAGAGTGTGTGGGAGTTTCCAATCCAACCAGCCTTATTAGGGTAGTCAGCAGGCGGTGAAGCTTCACATGGAACCCAAGACAGATCTTCAAGAAACTTATAAAGTGCCTTTGCAATCCTGTTGCTTGTGACCTGCGCACGTAAGATACCTGGATAGTGGTTGATATGTTGTAAAAGGACTGATCCCCTTTCAACATCCAGCTGGGAAACCTCCTTTGCACACTTCAAAACATCATCTGGTGTCACTAGTGCCTCTGTTTTGAGTCCGACCCGTTTCAAGTTGTTAAGCAGTCTGCCTTCAGAATACTCTCTCACTGGAAACTCGCTGCTGCCTCTAAACATCACTTGAAGGGTTTGAGAGGGCTCGAACAGTTCCTTTGGACTTGCTCTGCGTCCAGAAATTGGAATAAACTTGAGGTCTGTCACCAAATGGTCAAATTGTGGTCGCTCCAAGACCCACCTCATGATTGACAGTGAATCGGCGTCACAGTAGAACCCATCCTGTACTGCAGGGAGGACGTTTCTTCGTAGAAACTCATCAACTGGTTGCTTTTCAACCTTAAGTCGTAACAGTAGGTTATCCGATTCGTCAGATTTCATAATAAGACATCGAAGTCTAACAGCTCTCACTGGTAACCCAAAATAGTTATCAGGAATTGATGTTGCACATGTCTTAGCTGAGACATCTTTCCCATCACTTCCAAGAAAGAAAGGGAGAGACTTCAAGATGTCAAGTTGGCCGGTCGTTAAGTGCTGAAGTAATGCGAGGAGAGCTCGTAGTTCATGTTTTGTGCTCGCAGCCAATCTTTGAACCTGTGCATTGAGGTTATTGCGGCTGCATGCCTCTATGATGGTCATGACTCCTTCAGGTGTAGGAGCACCAACAAATCTGTTGATGCATGGGTGATTACTTACATAAGGCGGTAGATCCCGTATAACAACAGCTCCGACAGACTCCAGAAAGGAGCAGACGTTATCGGATAAGGGTACAGGATAACGCCCATAAGAGTTCCCCGCCTGTACTTGGCAAATTAACTTATTATGTTGTAGTCTGGCAATGTGACCGTGTGCTACCGGGACGAGGGGAATACCTTTGAATGCCTCAAGGTCTGTTTTCGCCAACCATCTCCAAAACTCCGCCAACCACTCCTTTGTTGGTTGTTGGCTGCATCCCGGGGTCCATGGCACGGTGTCATCTGTTCCTCCTCTCCATGTGCTTGGAAGTATCTCTCTCAATAGAGGTGCAACATCATTAACGCCCAGACGTTTCAGCTGTGTGTACGCCTCTATTCTGTGATCTGTCAGCAGTGTTGGTTGTAGATCACTCGCAGCAAATCTTGATGCCCCATTTGGGATCAGAGAACTTGGATTCTCTGTGGTCGCAATATATACTTTTGGTGCATTGTTATGAAATGCAACAAATTCGCCACTCTGCAAGGGAAGTAGAGAGAGGTTGTTCAGATCACAAACTGTGTCACTGGTCACATATTTAAGAAGCTCGAACTTCTCGTCACGTGACAGGAACTGCAGTGCATCCCCTCTGATCCTGTTTCTCACGAGTACAGGTGTAACCGTGTTGTAACTCACACCTGCCCATTTAAGAGACTCCAGAACGTGGTTTGGAGGCTGTGCAACAGGACAACCTATGATTCTCAGCACTTTTGAAACCAAGGCGTTTCCGTCGGGGACAACATACAGGTCCGGATTCGTTGGCCTCATCCAGTAGCCACCTTTATGTTCTGTGTAGAAGATGGGCTCGTTCGCTACCAGCTGCAAGAATTTCTTGACCCCAGCTGACCAATTTGCCGTTATGTGCCCAATTGAAGGCCATGCTTTATACACATCTAACGACTTTGTTGGATCAGATGGATCTTCACTCTTCTTAACAGCAGCTAGAATAACCTTTGCATAGACTTCAGGAAAGACTTCCTGTGTGAGGAGCTCGTTCCAGAGTGCCTTGTTGTCATGCTGGGACTCTTTATCTGGCCACTTGATACTGCGACGGTTGTCTCCAAGACCAAAGTAGCCATGTACGTGGACTGGCAAGCCTGTCTTCTCGCTCTCCGGCAATGGCAGGAAGCAAAACACACGACCACTTTGCTGTTCGTCATCTGAACCTGCTGTACAACTAGTTCGGAAGGACATCCCCATCCATGGCAGCAGCTTCAGTTCATCATCTTTGCACAGTTCCTGGAGACGTCCGGATGTACTCTTGTTCTTTAAGCTGTTAAAGGTGATGTATCTGCTTGTCGTTTGAGCTGTCTGTGATCCAGTTTGCTTCTGGATTCGTACACAGCTCATGGTTTGAATGTCTTGCTTCGAGAGAATCTGGCTCAGGAATGTTGTTCTGTCCATACGAATCTGATGACAATCGTCTGGGTGAATCTGTACCTTACAAATAAGTCTAGGATTCGCATCTTGATGATCTCTTTCATACACAGCTATGGATTCTACGTGCTTGAGAAACAACAGAGAGATCTCTGCATCTCTCTGGAATGATGCAAAGAGATCATGCACACGCGCATGATCAGTGAAAACCGACTTACTGATCAGTGATTTGCTGGTTCGCAATGGAAAGCGAAAAATAGTACCCTCTAATTTACCATTTTCAAAGTTGTTTTTATTACAGTGAAACAAGTCAATTAGGTAAGGTGAAAACTGGTCTGGAAATTTAGCCAGAAGATCGGCTTTCATCTCCCACTGCTTACCACGTCTGCCTTCGTAATTTGTGTTGGTGTGAGGGTCGTGGTTGAAGTGCTTCTCTAGTGGGTCCAAGAAACCGATTTTGTTTTCACTGACGATGCAGGGCATGTCTGTGACAAGAAAAATGACAAAGGTTTGATAATAACTTCTGCAATAACATGCACGATATAAAGGAGTTTATTTGATGAAAAAGAAGTTGCCAGATTGTTACTCACCTGTAAGATGGTAGACGGATATGAATCCCAGGCCGAACCTCCCAACCTTGGAAAGGTCTTCCTGCTTCCCACTCTGCTCAGGGTGTTGAAGGTTGTACCAGTCTTGCTCCTTAAAGGTTGCATCGTTGTAGGCATAGAGAGCTGGTCCTTGGAAGTCCTTCAATGTCTCCGACCACAATTGATGGCTTGGATGTTGCGACTTGTCGTAAAGGAAAATCACATTCTTTGCTTCTGCATCATCTGCATTTTGCACAAGCTCCTGAAATTGACAGATGTCTATATTCAACATTGTCCTCACATAAATGCCAAACTCGTGAATAAAGAAAATAATACATTATAAATAAATTATGTTAAATTTTTTTTTTTTTTACAAACAAATATAAAAACCCTTTTAAAAATATCTAACATTAGTCTATTTTCTACCTTCAAGATCTGTCCACCTTCCGGGTATTTGTCCAAAACTCTCTTAAGGTAGATGTGCAGCGGCGGCAACTTCTGCCCAAAATAATCGTCCTCTGTGAAATGAAAAAATAAGACATTTACAACACGAAAGATGCCAATTTATGATAGTTTTAGTTCTTTTTGCAATTCAGGACCCATATCTCATCATTATCATCATCATCATCATCACTCATAGTGGATGTGCGCAGGATGCAGTTTCCAATACCATGGATACTCAAAAACATCTTACGTTGATTCAATTGTGGCTCATCTTACCTTGCTGTTATATGAGAATGTCATTAATTATGGAGTCCCTAACAAAAAGAAAGTAATTGAACGAAACTTTTCAACAATAGGATTTACCGCCGCTGGGATATGACATCATGTTTCAATTCTGCACTAGATGAGCTCGAAGCAAATGTGCATAATAGTCGGAATTATGTCCTCTCTCTGCAGGCGAGGTCTGTAAAAATGATGTTTGTTACGAAAGGATTCATTATACAGGGTAACAAAAAACGAAACCCAAATGGCGGGACCAAAGTTTGAATGACGTTTTGCCTGTAGCACTTTTAAAATCGAAGATATGAAAGCCCAGTCATTTAGCTTTCTTTTAGTACAAGAATCCTTCAAATCACTCATGCCCTTTTCAAATTACGGAATTTTGAACACAAACACCGTTTTTAAGTTCTATCCACGGATCACAAAAAAGGAAGAGTTCGTTCAGCAAAACGAAAAAAATGCTCATGGGGATGCGTGTGAATTGTTTTCGTTTAGCTGAAAGAACACTTTTTGGAAGTGCTACAGGCAAAATTTCATTCAAAAATTGTTCCTGCCATTTGAGTTTCTTATTTTTTTACTCACCCTGTACAGACTGAGTAAAAAAACATGGAAACCCAAATGGTGCCGCCCTTTTTTTTAAAGGAAGTTTTGCATGAAGTGCTTTCCAGATCCAGGATGTGAAAGCCCAATAAATAAGCTTGCTTTTTAGTAAAAGAATCATTCAAATCACTCACGTACTTTTCCATTTACAGTTTAATAAGTTTGTCCACTGATTACATTTAAGGTACGTGATATATCATTCCCCGGAGTAGCCAAGTAGAAGCCAGGGTAAGACTATAAGCTCTTGACATTATAAAGCATGTTGTTTTAACAATGGAAGCAGAAGGTGTTTGAATAAAGGTTCTGATAACTACCTATACCAGTACTAGTTACCATGGTTATGAGAGTGTTCCGATGTGTTTTTTTGATACGTAAATTGTTTTCGTTTTGCTGAAATATCAATCACCTTTATTGTGATCCGTGAACAAACCATAGAGCTGTATAATGAAGAATTTATTACACAGCTCTATGGGACAAACTACTCTGTGTTTAAAAGTCCATAACTGGGAAATTACATGAGCGATTTCAATGATTCTTTTACTAAAAGAAAGCTTATAACTTGGGCTTTCAAATCCTAGATTGTGAACGCGCTACATGCTTTTCTTAGACTCGCCCTGCACAGACCATAAATATATACTAATTCATGCAAATCAGGCTTTTGAATAACAATATTTGAGGTCGCCATCATCTGGCACGGTTGCAACCATTACTTATATTTTGTTTTAAACTAATACATAAACTTTCCCACCTGATAAAAAACAAATATTTCAGTGAAAACCGGTCAACAGAGAACAAATGCAAGAGAAAACTTAACCCTAAAAGGGCCGGGTTATTTTGACCATCTCTCTGCCGGGGGGGGGGGGGGGGGGGGGCAAGATCTCGGCAATCGAGTGACGTAAAATTTAGAATCTCGGTACATGCATAGAACAACCGGCCCTTTTAGGGTTAAAGGGCCCATTGACATGAATTTTTCATCAGAACACATTTTGTGCAATTTTATACTCCTCTTAAATGTATGAAAACTATTTGACTTCCTTTTTGGATTGTGAACTCCAAATTTTCGCGCTGAAAACATTTGTGAGAAAACTTTGCTCATTAGCCTACTGTAATATACTGAAACAACGAATCACCAAAGAAAAGACAATTTACAACACCGAAGTTTCGAAAATGCGGGCAAATTGAGGTGCGGCAATAGCTGTAACATTAAGGTTTCTGCCTGAAATGACGTCACACTTTTGCTCATAAATATGGAAATTTAAAGTAGCATAAAAACCAAAAGGATACAGAATTCCCTACGCAAAATGAAAATTCAAAATAATGTTAAATGAGACACAAAGGTGTATTTACATGGACTGCATTAAAAAATACATTACATTGGCTCATTAAAATTCGCCTTATCAAATAAATAATAAAACTGAAAAAATCACAAAACAACCTTATTTAAAGTGTGAATGAGAATCTGAAGATGGATTAAACACACAAACTTTCATATTTTCTTAATGATAATACTTCTTTTACTTTTGGTTGAATGTTATAGGACCTGTGTTGATTTTCTTTGCATGTTTTTCTACTCTCGATGTCTCACTGTGGCATCACTGGAAACGGGAGAACAAACCTGGTTTGGATACACTCGCAATTTTACTGCGTTTCATTCTCAACTGATACCGGATAAGGGTTGAACGGCTTTAGCAACAAATAAAATACGAATTTCATGCTCAGGATATGTCCTTTAACACGGAACAATGGCGATAATCAATAGCTGGTAACATTATCACGAAAGTTCATCGATCCGAATCAATAATGTACAGTAAAAACACATGTGTACTCAAGGTTTTTTTCCTTGGCACGCAATTTCACGCCCATGGTCTGTCCCTAAACATGTACAATGAATAATTTTTAATAAATGTACAGTCAAAATTATTGCGTGCTCTGGGTTCCCCCTCAGCATGCAATACCATTCGAAGGCAATAGGAATCACGCCCCGAGTTCGTGCCCACACATCCGGCTTTTTGGCAACTCCAACTGCGCGTGTGCACATCAAGATTTTCCGACGGATAAAAAAAGCATGAGACTAGTGTTTACACAGTGTATGGACATGCAATAACGAAATATGAAATCTACGTGTAAGAGGGTGAAAAGATTGTGTGGACAAAACATTGTGTGGACATATTAAGTTAAACTGATAAAAATAACCCTGTAAAATGGGATGCATACAATGTACAAAATGTTGTTAAAATATCGAACAGGATTGTATTAAGTCGTGTTGAACTTTTGCATACAATAATTAAAAAAAAAAAAGATTGATTTCATCCTTCAAGACTTCTTGGAATAGTATGTAACTGAAGCATGAATAGATTCATGATCAACATTATACATGGACGGATTTTAAGCAACCCAAAACAGCTGAAAGTGCTCTCCCTTTTACATCAAAATGAGTAAAAACGCATTTCATCTCCTGAGAGCGGCCGATTGTGTTTTTTTCTAGGATTGTGCATGCAGGAATACTGCTTTGAGTTTGACACCTTCCTAAAAGTGCAAACTATCTGCAAGTCAATTTCGGGGGCCCATGACGAATAAAACCACAAAAGCATGCAATGAAGATCATATGCTTCGATCTGCATCGGGACGGTTCGACTATCGGCACATTTTAAACCTCAATTTATTTCACGACCTCCTATGACATCATGTGGTTGAGGATAGAGGGAGAATAGGGAAGTTTATTCCCGAACACTTCAACTTGTGATGAATGTCCACAAACACAGAACATGCATGCATATTCAACAATTTGTAATTAACAAATCGCCATTTAAAATATACTGTAATGTATTAACTGTTTAACGTGACATACTGGTGAAGTGTCTCGATGTAAGTAGAGCTTGAGTTTGAAATGTATAGAAACAGCCAAATGACAATATGGGAAACACTTCGGAGTAAAATCGAGGACCACATAAGAAAATCAACTATCAGACGACTGAGGGGCGTGGCACTTCATTCTGTTTTCCAGACAGTTATACGCAAGATCGTGGTGCATTAATGAAGCTATATTATTGCACATTAATAGTTCCACTCTAGTCTACCAAGACCACAACATGTGTAAGGTGTAGGCCTAGTTCTAAGACTTGATGGTAGAAAACAAGGACTCACCAATCATCTCAAGATGATCGTCGAAGACATCAATGGAAGCTAGTTGGTTTTACGAGTGTTAGTGTTACCACTATGGAGGAACATGAGCATGACTTGGCTCCGACTATTGCAATTTTACACAGGCCTAGAGTTGTCCAATCCGCCGATGAATTTGAAAACGCAACAGCGTGTCCACTGTTCCAACTGAGATGATGGCAAGAAAATGAGGAAAAGAGTGTTGAAATTGAATTTTCAGTAGATATATGACAAGTCTGCCCGCCCACGCCACGCGTCACGTTGGTTTATTTCTCATTCGGGAAAATCCCGCAGCACGCAATACGTCAAGTCCATTGCCAATGTGCCTTAAATAATTTTTTTTTTTAAACTGGTTCCCCCAGTCTATGCTTAATGCATTACCGTTCTATGTGTGCTTACCAGTGAATAACATGTGGCGCGCCGCTATTATAACCATAGGGCCTAACATTAACAACATGGGATTCACATTAAAAATGTATAGACGGCGCAAAGTGGGCCAGTTCAAGGTCAAACTACGCCAAAACTAGTGGTCAAAAAGTGATTGTTTCAAAAATCATGACCTTCAATTTTTCTTAGTTCCCAATGGTCCAGGGGTACTCTAAAATGCATGAATTAGGGACAAAAATTGTTTAAACATGGGCGATACTCTGATGTTTTCACTTATAACAATCCAAAAATAGCTGTTTAAACGTAGTGCGTTATATAACTAGCTGTCTCGGTCGCTATGAAAGATATCGCCACGAAAATTTACTTGAATGTTGTTGATATCCTATATTTCATGGAAATAAAATTCATAATCCGTTTAGTTTTGATTCAGTACAGATTCAAATAGCCTGAAAAAGTCATGTAAATCGTCTATTAAATGGTACTTGTTATGCATAGGAAGAAAATATGTATTCCCGCCGATTCCCGCTTCAGCTCTTGCAATTTTCAATAGCCTGAGGCTGAATCGTTTAAAAAAAAATGGCTGCGACTTTTGGAGACATTCCATTTTGAAGTGGTACGCGACGGCGCTTAGGCGGAACTGTTTTGACTCAACCACCCGTAACGACCTGTGCGTATGACAGGCTGTGTATTCCCATGAGGCTTCTACTACAGCAGCAAAGACAACACTGCTCTGTAGGCCTGGCTATCATTCACTCTAAGTTGTTTTAAGGTGGACAGAAAACCGTATATTTGTAAATTATTTGGAGTCACCGCAAATACTAATTAAATAACAATAAAAAATATCAACATATTATGTGCTTTATTTTCAATTATGACATAGAGTAAATATGCATAATTCTGCTGCTTAACCGATTTGATTTAAAACTATTTTTTGACGCACTCATATTTTGTACAAGCATTTTTGTAAACTATTACATGGAAATAACAAACTGGCGTGAATAATTTACAGTAAATAAAACGCCAATAAAAAAAAATAAATAAATAAATAAAAAAGAAAGAATGAGAGCCGGTCCTTAAGTTTAATCAAAGTACATTTTCTTTATTTGTTTATGGTCAGGAAACACAACAAGAAATGTTGTTTAGAACAGGTCTATTAATACTCTTCCGAAATTTGTTTAGGCTACTCGTTAGATTCCGAAATATTATATTTGGGAACAATTAAGGATCGAACGTGGCATCTTTATGGTTAGGCAGAATGCGAAAACATTGTTGCATATGACATACACGAATCATTAAAATACAGTTGTATCACAATTTAAAAAAACATAAAATTAAATTATAAAGTTATATCAACATTCTCCTCATTATAAAAACAGTTTAAAATGTGCGTATTATGTCAGCCAAGCAACATTCAGCATTTATGACGTCACAGCGTTTGAAAATTATGCCCACTGTCTTTCTCGGGTCAGAAAACCCCTAGATGCTTATTAGTCCAATCTTAGTAATATAAGTCCAATCAGCGACTCGAACCAATTTTGGCGCAGTTTGACCTTGACCTAGCCCACTGTGCGGCGGGACAGCACATCACTTGTATGCAATTACTGCAGTAACGTGACGCATTGCTCTTGCAAGTCTTGTTCTCGCAGTACATAACTTACGAAAGTCTTACTAGACGGTACCCAGTTGCTCAGGCATAATCCTTATAAACACATTTTACGCTGTCTGTCTGATGTCTGTCTGTCTGTCTCTCTGTCTGATGTCTGTGTGTCACGTTTTTTTGTAAAAGGTCT